CTGGGGGTGCTGAGCCTGCGTGTGCGGAGCCTGGGGGTGCTGAGTCTGGGGGTGAGTCGCCTGAGGGTTCTGAGACTGCTGTTACGCGGTCTCCTTGGAGTAGCCGTCTTCGTCAGCGTGTGCCTCTCACCTCCCAGCAGCTGCACGACTGGTACGGTCGCCGTCTACGTCGCGCTTCTGCACCTCATGACTCTACTGCTGGGGGTTCTTCTGCTGACGTCACTGGGGCAGGGGGTGGTGCTGGTCCTTTGCCTGCAGGAGGTGCTAGTGTAGCTGGTCCCGGAGGTGCTCGTACTCGGGCTACTGGAGCTGCTGGGGCTGGCGGTGTTGTGTCTGACTGTACTGGCGCTGCTGGAGGTGCTGGAGGTACTGAGGGTACTGGAGCTGCTGAGGGTATTGGAGCTGCTGAGGGTACTGGAGCTGCTGGAGGTACAGGAGCTGCTGGAGGTGCTGGAGCTGCTGAGGGTACTGGAGCTGCTGAGGGTGCTGGAGCTGCTGGAGGCGCTGGAGCGGCTGGAGCTGCTGGAGCTGCTGGGGGTGCTGGAGCTGCTGGTGCTGGTGGCCCTGCACAGCCGCGCCTGTTCTTCGCTCCGCCGTCTCCGTCGTCTCAGCCACCGCCTGACTCTGCGCTTCGCCAGGTTCTTAGTCTCACTTCGTCTACTGGTCTTCCGTTACAGCCTGGTTCACTGCTGCCTGCTCCTTCTCCGTACACTGAGCACACAGGGGGCCTTGCTGAGCGTCGTGAGCCTGCGTCGCGTCTTGTCTCACCTGTCCGTTCTGGTCGTTCCGGTAGTCGTGTTCCTCGTCAGTGTCAGCCGGCTGTCCCTGGCCCTCAACTTCTAGTCCGTCGTCCTCCCTCTCCTCCGTCGCGTGTTCCTCTGCCGTCTCCGCCTGCGTCCTCTCTGCCTGTCGTCGCTGACCCTGCGTCTGACCAGTTTCGTGCTGAGCACCCTACTGTCACGCGTCTGCTTGCTACTGTTGTCACTGACCCGTCTTTTGAGTTTGCTACTGCGTCTGCCTTAGTCGCTGAGCTTGTTGACTTTGCTGCTGCCTGTCGTCTAGACTACGCCGCTAGTCTTGTTGCTGAGTCTGAGTCTGTCTGTCCTCCGTTCGTCGGGGGTGAGTGTGCTCTTCGCACGGACGTCCTTGAGGACAGGCAGGAGGACCTTGAGTGCCTTGCAGCCGCTGCGCCTCATCTCGTGGCCATGCTGCTTGCCCCTGAGGGAGACCCGGATGCACCAGACATCCCAACTCCGCGATCGTACGCTGAGGCGATCGCGGGTCCCTACTCCTCTCAGTGGCAGACAGCCATGGACGCAGAGATGGCTTCCTGGAAATCCACAGGCACATACGTCGACGAGGTTCCCCCACCTTGGGCGAACATCGTCAGTGGCATGTGGATTTTCAGGGTGAAGCGGCCGCCAGGTTCTCCGCCTGTCTTCAAGGCTCGTTACGTTGCTCGAGGTTTCAGTCAGCGTGAGGGAGTTGACTTCTTCCAGACCTTCTCCCCCACCCCGAAGATGGCCACTCTTCGGGTGCTGCTGCACGTTGCTGCTTAGCATGACTACGAGCTTCACTCTCTTGACTTCAGCACAGCCTTCTTACACGGCAGTCTGCACGAGGAGATCTGGCTGCGCCGCCCACCTGGCTTCACTGGGTCGTTCCCTCCTGGTACCCAGTGGAGTCTTCGGCGGCCAGTCTACGGTTTCCGTCAGGCGCTACGTGAGTGGCACGACACACTGAGGACGACTCTTGCGGCTCTTGGGTTTGCCCCGTCGACTGCTGACCCGTCGCTGTTTCTGCGCACCGACACTTCGCTGCCGCCGTTCTACATCCTCGTGTACGTCGACGACTTGGTCTTTGCTACTGCTGACACTGAGGCTCTCACCCTGGTGAAGTCGGAGCTGCAGAAGAGACACACGTGCACAGACCTGGGTGAGCTGCGCAGCTACCTTGGCTTGCAGATCACCCGGGACAGAGCACACCGCACCGTCACACTGACTCAGTCACACATGGTGCAGCAGGTCCTTCAGCGCTTCGGCTTCACCTGGTCCTCAGCACAGGCCACTCCTCTGGCTACAGGTCACTCGCTCTTGGAGAACCACGGGTCGATAAAGTCCACCCCCCTCCCAAAGAGCTCAGGTAGTCGGAAAACATCGCCTCCTCTCCTGCTATCCCTAGCTGAGCCACACAACGCGTCGTTTTCGCCCATCCACAGGCATAGGAGAGAAGGCTCAAAGACGCTGCAGCCCGTACACCAAAACCACCCAAGCGAACAGGGAGGTGCAGCTGCAAACGGGCCAACCTAGACCGACCAGGGTCGTGCTTCCATGTGCCCGGAGGAAAAAACTGCTCAAAACAGTCCTCCACACCACTGTCCCACTCCCTAAACGCCTCCACCACCGGCGGTGGCACCGTCCGCGCAACATACATAGGTCGCGTAGTCACTGCAATTGCCAGAAGGTGGACGACTATCTGGAGGTGCTCGAGCAACGGGAGCCGCGGAAGGGGTGCTTGGAACTGCTTTAGCCGCTCCCGCAGCGGGACAACTTTCCAGTTCTCATTCCCGATGGGATCACCAGCCACCGTCAGACCCTCCTCCGTCCGCTGCATGCCAGATGGCAGCTGCTCCATTAGATCAGCCCCCCCCCCCCCCCCCCCCCCCCCCTCCCAAGACCGACACCTGTGCGCATGCACTTGCAATCCCACTGACTCCAACTAATTACGCAACACACCAAATGCCTCCAATATCCGAGCCCCAGGACTTAAATTGTAGGAGGATTGCGTGCTTTGATGATTGTGTGATTATATTTAACATCAATTAATCGTTACAGTACACGCCACCCCACTGCCAGATTCTAAATAAATGAAACTAATCGTAAAAGTGGGCGCATGGCTTCAGAGGTGATTGCGTGGGATATTTTATGTCTCAATGCACGCATATACATACGAAAAGAGGTCATAATGAATAGCATGTTCCGTAAGTATTTTTACTTGGTTGATGAAGTACCCTATAGACTGTAATACATCCGCAGTCATAACGGTAGTATATTTTAAGTGGATCCACGTGGGGATGGCACAGATACCCACATCAGGAGCCTTTTGTGCGACCAATAGGAGTGTACGGAAGCTTTTACTTATCACCTCACTGGATGAAGCCGCCATCACCGACATTCGTTCCGATTTCTGACGGTTCCACGACATGCCTGTGAATGTATGTGAACGTGGCGAACAGGCGATCGAAGGTTTTGCGAAAGCATTTTTGCGAATTGTGGTGAGTGGGGTGGGGGTACTCTTCCCAACTGCGCATTCTAGGCCTCAGAGGGGGTAGCTCTTCCCAGCTGCGCATTCTCGGCTCTCCCCTCCGCTTCCACTCTTCCGCCACCTGCCGCCACAATATCGCAGCCGTACGTCAGAATTTCGGGGCAATCGTCCAATGGAAATTACCCAAGGCCAAGCGAAGTCATCAAACGACGAGGCGCGCAGCTACAGTCTCCCTCCACGTGCCCTAAACCCTTGTGCCTGCCTGCGACTTAGCGGTTCAATCAAGTTCTATCTGACCGTGGTCTGTCGAAGCAATTCCATGTGAAACGTCAATTGGCAATTGTTTAGGAAATTGACGAAATTTAACATGTCAAACTTGCACTTCTTTACTGTATACCCTCCCTGCGGCGCGGCCGAACCCGTATGCACATCCCATGTTTGTGGCCTTCCTCTGCTCAGCTCAACTGTATCATCCCTTTTTCCTTCCACCCCCCGTCAACACCCCCCACACCCCTTTCCCCGCTCCACAACTCCAGCTGTGTCCCTCTGGTTTCCAGCTCTACTCAACTCTGTTGCTCATTTGCTGCTGATTCTTGCCGAAACAACGGACCTTCCTCGTGTACTTCCTTTGACCACGTAGTCACCGAATTACAGCACCGTCGTTCGCGCTAATCGCCCCTCACACTCGTGATGCCACTCCACGCGACATCACAGGCCGCTCCCAGCTTGGCTGCCCTTTCTAGCCGAAACGGGCGAATCCGGTTGTTGTCCCCCTACAGCGCCGCATCCGCCGAACAAGCATGGTTCCTCCTTCGCAGTCCTGACCGATGCAACTTGCAACTTCATCGTCCAAAGCATGCGCTAGCCTTGAATCTCCCGCGATCGTACCTGGCCTATCAGCAAGAACGCTTGCTCTGGCCGCGACATTCGTAAAGAAGCGGAATTGTGCAAGGATTCGAGATCCATAACTTATCACTACCACCTCGCGGTTCCGCGCGATCGCCATAACCACAGCGGCGGCGTACCATCGCCCATGAGGCGACGTACCATCGGCTCAACTACTCGCTAGTACCTTCAGTGGTCCTAGTAACGGTGTTACTGTATCGAGAGTACAGCCAGTGTGTTACTGTATGAACGTCACAGCTGTCATTAGCGCACCAGACGCATCCGTGCTTCGCGGCACACGGGCGAGTTGCTTCAAACAGGTCATAAGAGAAGCTGCTTACCGCATATTCACGTATTTTCGTATTCGTAGGCGGGACTGTATTCGTACCTCGAAGAAGCAGGCGCCGTGAGATCAACTCAACAGACCAGCTCCCCCGCGACCAGCGGCTATGGAGTATCGAGACGACGAAAGCCCGTTGTTTTACTCCAACGATGGAATGCTGTCCGCTTCAGAGTTCTTCCTGTCGTCACCCGCCGTCGTCGACGGCCCTGGGGTTACTAGTAATGTTGGGACCAGCTTATTAGGCCCGTTTGACGGTGCTATGGTCTCTCCCGAATGGATGCGATGCGACGTCGACCGCCCGTCGGCGACTTTTGGCGACGTGATGAGCGACGCGATGGGCGAGGAGCGCGAAGGGGATGCGATTCTTTGCGAGCGACAGCAGTCGCTTGACCCGCTGGCCGAGATGCTGCCGTTTAGCACCGAAGCGTTTGACGGCTGTGGGGCCGCATTGTTACCAGAAAGTATTCCGGAATTCGGGCTCCCGTCTGTCAGAGAACCTTCCGAGAACATGTCCACCGATGTCTACGTTCCTGCCGTCGCAGCCTGGTCGCACGAAGTCGCAGGGGAGACGCTGGGTGTTCCGCAAACGAGGGTTCGTACAGACGAGTCGCCGACTGTAGCAGCGGAGGTTGACAATAATACCTCAAACAACAGCGTTCTTGACACCGACACCGACGGCGCCAAAGACGGGTCACGCCTGAAGGAGACAGCGCAGGTTGCGGGATCAAGCCGCATCCCCTCTGGCGATCAACCAATCACTGGCGACGCGAAACCTGTTACGGAACGACACGTGTCATTTTCAGATCCATCCACCCCACGACAGACGGGGACAGGTTCTCGAGTCGGTCTTTCCTCCTCCGCAACTTTCGCGCCACTCTCCCTCCCTCCGCCGTCCCCGCTCTCCCTCCCCTTCGCGTCCCCCCGACCACTTTCCGCTTCCTCGCCACTCTCGCTTCCCCCTTCCACTCTCCCCTCCATCTCTCTTCCCTCCTCCTCTCTCCCCCCGCCCTCCCCACTCTCCCTCCCATCCTCGTCGTCGCTCCCCCTCCCCTCGCCGTCCGAACTCTCTTTGGCCTCCGCTTCCCCCTATCTGCACTACCGCGGGGTGCGCCAGCGCCCGTGGGGAAAGTGGGCGGCGGAGATTCGCGACTCCGCGAAGAGCGCGCGCGTGTGGCTCGGGACGTACGCCACGGAGGACGAAGCTGCTTTCGCGTACGACGCGGCGGCGCTCGCGATTCGAGGTTCGCGCGCGAGAGTGAATTTCGAAGGGAGTCGCGAATACGCGGCGCAATTCGCGGAGGTTTTGGCGAAAAACGGCGGGAAAGTCGACCGACGGCTGCAGATCGCGCTCGGGATCGAGACGATGAGGCTGATTAGGGAAGGCGCGGCGAAACACGTGGCGAGCTTACAGAGCGCCACGTCGGAACTTTGCAGGCCGTTCAGGGGGTTGAGGTCGCGGCGGAGGAGATTGAGTGTTGGGGGGGCAAGCGCGGGGGTTAGTTGCGGCGGCAGCGCGGAGGAGGAGACTGGCAGGGGCATTGGCGGAAGCATGGGGGGAGGCGGAACTGTGTCGGCGGAAGAGGCGGAGTTACGGGGGAAAGTCTCAGCGGATGTTCCTATGACGAGCGGCTCGTATTCCAAAGCGGAGGCGGGAGGAGAGATAGTGACTGGGGGGGAGGGAGAGAAGGCGCCTCGAGTTGGGGAGCAGGATACGGAGGGAGGGTTGAAACACAAAAAGCAGGAGCATCAACAGCAGCAAATACGGCTGGGGCAGCAGCAGCAATTGGGACAGCAAAACCAACGGGTGCAGCATAATCAATCGGGGCAGCAACAATTACAGCAGGAGCAACCCCCAACCCACGCTGCTAAAGTTGAAGCTCAGAACGATATGATTGGCTTGGGGGAAATTGATATCCTTTTTGCTGCCCGAGGTGGGCGTCGGAGCAACCAAAGCTGCCCGCCAAATGTTCTCAACGATTGGATGGGAGCAGATGACGAAATGTTCTGGAGTTCCCTAGGGGAGGGCACCGGGGGAGCGTTTTCGGGGATGGGGGAGGGAGGAGGCAGCTACACGGGCGGTTGGGGTTCGGATTCGGCTACAGTAACAGCAACTACAGCAACCGCGACAACAGTAACAGCGAATAGAGCCGCTATTGCTGCTATTGAGGAAGGGGACACTGCGGGCGTGGGGGAGAGAGGAGTGGTGGTGAGTGGGAGGGGTGAGGGGGAGGGAAAAGTTGGGGGGGAGGAGAATGAGAAGAAGGGTGGGGAGGAGGATATGATAGAGTGGATGCTCAATCAGGAGGCGCCTGCAAGCTCTCTCTGCCTTGTTACTCCTGCTTCCGCCACGGATAGACAACAGGCTACTACTGCACCTAACACTGCAGTCGGGACTGCAGCTGGTGCTGTAGCAGGCACTATAGCAGGCAGTGCAGCAGCAGCATCAGGCACTAGGTGCTCCTCCAATCTCCCTGCCACCGTGGCAAGAAGTGGTTCAAGCACGGGAATGATTTCTCCGAGTACACTCCCGTCTACATCAACCCGGATACACGTTACTGGTTCAGCTACTCCAAGTGAAGCGCCTTGTAACGGAACACCAGGACCCGCAGCGTCTGTGTGCTCCAACCCTTCACTGCTGTTACATCTCCCTGACCCCACTCGGACACCAGTGAAACGGCCGCCGCCAGGGTTTCATTCACATCCCCCTGCGGGTTTCAACTTGACAGCAGCAAGCCCTGCAGCATCCCCTAAGCCACTGCTAACATCATCCCCACTAGTGGCATCTCCACTACAAGCAAACTCGTTTCCATTACAGCGTCAGCCTGCCGGGCCTGTATCTGCAGGCCAAGCAGTGGCATCAACACCAGCTGTAACAACAGCAGCAGTAGCAGCAAGGGAACAAGTGTTCGCACCAGCACCACACGCATCAATAGCAGCATCGCCAGCATCAGCACTTGCGGCACCCCCAGCAGCATCTGCATTCCCAGTGGCGGCTTTACCAGCAGGTAGAGCCCCCATGTCTGCAATCGCACCACCCTCACCAGCAGCAGGGAGCATTCAACAGCCACCCGTAACGTATCAGCAGCAGGGCTACCAGCAGCACCAGCAACACCCACCACAACAGCAGCAATACCAGCAGCACCACCTGCAGCAGCAGCAACAGCAACAGCAACAGCAGCAGCATCAGCAACAGCAACAGCAGCAGCAACAGCAACAGCAACAGCAGCAGCATCAGCAACAGCAACAGCAGCAGCATCAGCAACAGCAACAGCAGCAGCATCAGCAACAGCAACAGCAGCAGCATCAGCAACAGCAACAGCAGCAGCAACAGCAACAGCAGCAGCATCAGCAACAGCAACAGCAGCAGCATCAGCAACAGCAACAGCAGCAGCATCAGCAACAGCAACAGCAGCAGCATCAGCAACAGCAACAGCAGCAGCATCAGCAACAGCAACAGCAGCAGCATCGGCAACAGCAACAGCAGCAGCATCAGCAACAGCAACAGCAGCAGCATCAGCAACAGCAACAGCAGCAGCATCAGCAACAGCAACAGCAGCAGCATCAGCAACAGCAACAGCAGCAGCATCAGCAACAGCAACAGCAGCAGCATCAGCAACAGCAACAGCAGCAGCATCAGCAACAGCAACAGCAGCAGCATCAGCAACAGCAACAGCAGCAGCATCAGCAACAGCAACAGCAGCAGCATCAGCAACAGCAACAGCAGCAGCATCAGCAACAGCAACAGCAGCAGCAACAGCAACAGCAGCAGCATCAGCAACAGCAACAGCAGCAGCATCAGCAACAGCAACAGCAGCAGCATCAGCAACAGCAACAGCAGCAGCATCAGCAACAGCAACAGCAGCAGCATCAGCAACAGCAACAGCAGCAGCATCAGCAACAGCAACAGCAGCAGCATCAGCAACAGCAACAGCAGCAGCACACACCTCGTGTGCAACTGCAGCAGCGCGATTCTCCCCATTATCCTCTCAATTATCCTCCCCAAAATACTCTTCATTCTCTTCCCACCCAACCTCACCACAACCACCTCCACCACTCATCACCCCACCACCATCCCCCACCAAACCCAGCACCACCGCCCAACAGCCAATCAGGTGCCTCCACAGGTTGCTGCTGCCAATGTCACTGTCACAAATCACGCCCTGTCCAATCAGCAACTGCCACATCAGTGCAAGAGTCAAGCCCATCATCATATGCTGCCACATCAGCACAGGATATAAGCTCATTGCTTCGAGCTGCCACGTCAGCACAGGATATAAGCCCGTTGCTTCGAGCTGCTGCGTCAGCTCAGGATATTCGACCAATTCTGCAGGCTGCCACGTCAGCAGCTGCTGCATTTTTGCAACTGTCTCAACGAACGATGTTCAACCAATCTGCAGCCGCAGCAGCAGCAGCAGCAGCACCACCACCACCACCACCAGCACCAGCAACAGCACCACCACCAGCACCAGCAACAGCACCAGCACCAGCAGCATTAGCAGCACCAGTAGCAGCACAAGCACTGGGAGCAGCACCAGCACCAGCACCAGCATTAGGAGCAGCAACAGCAGCAGCAGCAGTAACAGCAGCAGCAGTTCCCGCCTTGCAAGACCAGGCTTAAACTGCATGAGCTTCGAGTGCTGCTTCAAGAGCTGCTGCCAATGCTGCTTCTTCAAGCTCTGCTCTTGTTGCTACTTCAGCTGGTTTTTCCTGGTGCTGCTGCTGCTCCCAGCCCAGCAGTCACTGTTAGCAGTCTACCTAGCACCGAATCAGTGCGTTAACACTTCTAGCATGTGCGAGAAGCAAATCGCAAGGCATAATGAGATACGAGATAGGTACCGCAGTTACCAGTTGTCAGATCAGAAATTCGCTTAAATATTATCATTTTATCAAAATCTGTGGGCTGGATTGTAAGGATGTTTGCACAGGTATGGTACTACCGGTAACCTTGTTATGTCTTGCCTGCTTTGCTTGCACTTCCTGAAGCACAATGTCTGTCTGGACCGAACCGATCTATGTACGATCTACTACCTGCAATACGCTTGGGTAGAGCCCAATGAATAGACCTCGACTGTATGGCAGAAATGTGCCTTATGCAGGCAGGCACTCATTTGGAAGGAAAATTAAATTCCAGTATGCTGTGAGTATATATATTAATGGTAAGAACTACGGTAAGGAACAAGACCAGACAGCCATGTACTGGTACCTATCTGATTATATTGATGGATACAGGACAAGGAACAAACTATCTACCATTATTGGTGTACTCATTAGAGGCAAGCGAATTGCGATTATTGCAGCATTGTAACGTGCTAAGTATAAGAGTCGGACCTGCTGTACAGTTTCCGCGTAGAGTTACGGTAGCAGCAATGAAATCAAATCAAGTTATGTACTGTAGCTGCCAGAAGCCTTAGTACACTGCAGACCCGTCCCTTGCATGCGGGACCTCGCTGCCGTCCACCGGTGGGTCAAATCAGATCAGATCTGCTGTTGCCAGTCCTCTGTTAGTGGGTGCAAGTCTTCAGCTGTTAACGCGCCCTCTTCAGTGTGTTACACTGCCTTTCACCGTGTTGCGTCCCACCCCACCCCACCCCACCCCACCCCACCCCATCCCATCCCCTCCCTCCCCTCCCCTACCCTCCCACCTGTCGCAACAAAACACCCATCCATCCCAAAAAACACCCAACTGAAAAGCCCTCACCGGGACAATCCTGATCAGCAACCTCCTTCCACACTCACACCTCATGCAACCAGCAACCCACACACCACACCCATCAACCCCCTCCCCCCCTTCCCCCCCCACCCTACCCCACCCCCTCAAACACCCCACCCCATCAAACGCTCACATCAGAGTCATCAGAACAACGACCGTTGCCTCATCAGCACACGCCTATCCCACCATACCCCCACCCCCTCCCCACCTCACCCCTCCTGAGCCTCTTTCTCATCATGGCACCACACCCATCAAACCCCACACCCCTCAGACACATCACTAACACCCGCCTATCCCGCCCTATACACAACGGCATGCACCCAATCGACCCCACCATACCTACACTCCTCCCACCCCCACCCCCCCCTCCCCCCTCTTTCCCTTCCCCACACCCCTCAAACGCTCACATCAGACTCATCCGAATCTGAAGACCCTTGCCTCACTAACACCCGCCTATCCCGGCCTATACACAACGGCATGCACCCAATCGGCCCCACCATTCCCCCTCCCCCTCCCCCACCCCCTCCGCCACCCCCTTTCCCCCCATCCCCCCCGCCCCCGCGCCTCCGCGCCTGCTTCAGCGCCCTGGCAGAGGGTTCATCCAGCAGCAAGGGCCGAGGTGACTCCACTGCTGCCTCTGCCAGCCGCTCTATCTGCCTCGCTAGCACCTCTGCGATGCTCCTAGGCACTGCATCCACCTGGGGGGATGGGTGGGCGGGGGAGGGAGAGGAGGGAGGGGCATGTGTGAACCGCGCTCTATCTGCCTTGCTAGCACCTCTGCTATGCTTCTAGGCACTGCATCCACCTGGGGGGATGGGTGGGCGGGGGTAAGGGAGGGAAAGGGGAAAGTGAAGGGGGGGGTTTCCATTCCAACTGATGGGGGATTCCCAAGTCCTAGGCTCCCAGCAACAGCACCTGAACTGAATCACATCACCTGCATGAATCACATCATCTGAAAATTCAAATAGCCCAGACAAAAACGGGCTGTTAACCAGCATACCCCGCAATGATTACCTGGTAAGTCAGCCGCCCGGCCAGCCGCCCGTCTCTCAGCGGCCGCAGCGACAATCCCAAGGGAAACAGCGCCACCTCGCCGCCCCACCCACCGCCGCCCACACTCCCTCCAAACTCCGCCCCTCCACCCACCCCACCGCCCACCCCACCGATCGCACCACCAAAACCACCAGCAGCACCACCATCGAAAGCAGCACCAGCACCAGTAGCACCAGCGGCACCAAACCCAGCAGCAGCAGCAGCAGAAGAGGCTTCTAGGTCTAGGTCCCCCACTAGGGAGTCTTCTAGGGGGAGGAGGTTCGGTGGAGAATCGGTGCCAGGGTGCGTGAGGGCGAAGGATGCGAGGGCGAAGGGGGAGGTGAAGGGGTCGGGAGCGGTGGGGTGCAGTGCAGAGGCGAGCAGACGGAGCGAGATGGACTGGTGCTGCAGGGCTTGCAGCGTGTGCTCTCGCACCTGGTGGGTGGGTGAGTGGGGGAGGGGGGGTTGAGGGGTGAAGGGGGGGGGGTGGTGAGGAAAGGGGAATGGACGAAAAGAGCATCTAATCTAAAGGGAGATGGACTGGTGCTGCAGGGCTTGCAGCGTGTGTTCTCGCACCTGGTGGGTGGGGGAGGGGGGGTTGAGGGGGGTGAGGAAAGGAGAATGAAAGAAAAGAGCGTTAATTCTCAAGGGATATGGACTGGTGCGGCAGCGGCTGCAGCGTGTGCTCTCGTACCTGGTGGGTGGGAGAGCAAAGGTAGAATGGAAGGGCACACGGGGCGATAGACTTTTGAGTCGACTCAAAAGTCAACTCGAGAGCAAAGGTAGATTGGAAGGGCGCACGGGGCGATAGAAGCATGACAAGGCTGGCAGCGTGTTGCAAAGTCGGCAGGGAAGCAGGCACTGAGTCACATTCTTCGTAGAGCAGCAGCGCCTGTAACGGTGAGCAACCTTTATTCTGTCTTTGTATATATATATATATATATGATTTGATATTAATTAGAATGAAGGATGGAGGGAATGTGTTACATACTTGGAATAATAGTTGCTCAAAAGACACACCCTCAGATCAGACATGCACTGCACTGCAGCATGAGGACGAGTGGCTTTCAAAAACTTATCACCATTGAGTAACTGAGAGAGGGAAGCACCGAGTTACTTACTTGGAATAGCAGTTGCTCAAAGGACACACCCTCAGACATCCACTGATCGTTGCACATCTCCCGACCTCCCTTGCCCCCACCCATCGTCCCCCCCTTCCCTCCTCCTTCCCCATCCGCCCCTTTCCCTTTCATCAGTCCAGCTTGCTTTCCTTGCACCAACCCACTCCCCCCACCAGGCCGACTCTCCTCCCCACGCCTCCCCCCCTTCCCTGCAGCAACAGCAGCCGCAGCGAGTGAAAGCACGTCAGTGCCAACTCCCACACCCCCACTCCCCTGAACAAACTCCTGCCCCTGATGCCCCTGCTTCGACCCATCAACATCAGCAGCCGCGATTTGTCTCAGAGCAGCAGCAGCATCAGCAGGAGCACCAGTCACACCAGCCACACCAGTCCCAGCAGCCACAGCCGATACAGCAGCAGGAGCAGGGGAGGAGCGAGGGGAGGGCAGGGGAGGGGAATCCCCATCCCCAATGGCATGCACCTCGCTGGGCAGACATAACTTCCTCCCCGCTCCCCCGCCCGTCCCACCTCCGCCTCCCCCTCCTCCCGCTCCCGCTCCTCCCCTCCTTCCATCCCCTTTCCTCCCATGCATTCCTGGGCGTAAGCAACTAGCGGCACCACCACCAGCAGCACCTATTCTCTCCGCTGTCGAAGCTGCCCCGTCTTCCCTGTCGTCCCCACTACTGCAGTACCCCCCACCGCCTCCCTCCACTCCCCCTCCTGCTCCCCTTCCCCCTGCCGACCCTGGCCTATCCCCCTCTCCCTTTCCGGAGCTCCGGCCTCCATGGCTGGAGGGTCGGAAGCCCGAAACTGGCCCACCAGCTCCAGCAGCGGCAGTGGAAGCAGAGAGGCGAGGAGAGAGCGCGGAATACTGGTGGGAAGTAGAAGGGGAAACGCATCGAGACGAGACACACGATGATGCTCGGCTGATCGACGAAGTAAACGATCTCAGCCGTCCAGCCACCACCAATGGAGGGCTCAGATGCTTCCTCATATCCGTCACCACGGGTAGCACATCTGAAAACCGCCCGATCACCGACTGGAGCGGCAGGATTTGTCTCCTAGCGACCGGGACGGCGATCGCGACGGAGTGCTGGTGGGTCCAGAGGTGTAGCAAGGCGTGCAGAACGGTTTGGAGGGCCATGGAGAGAGTGGCGCCGCGGTGGAAGGCGTAGGTTTCGAGCCGCCGCCGAGTGCTTGCTGCTATAAGCACCTCCACATGCCCCTTGCGCAGCGACAAGGCCAACCCTCCTGCCGCCACTGCTGCTGCCGCAGCCGCCGCTCCTCCTGCTCCTTTCCCTCCTGCTGCTGCTGCTGCTCGTCCTCCTCTGCCTGTTCTCGCTCCTCCTTCGCTCCCGCTTTCGTCTACCTTGGGTTGCAGCTGGGGAGGTAGTTTTGGGGGAGGTACACCCACCGCTTGTTTCCAGAACCCCAGGTCCCACTCCTTGTGCCCGGCACTCGCCAGATTGTCCTTTTCCCACACGGCGAAATCCGCGTAGCTGGCGACTGCGGGGAGGTCGGCCGCCGAGCCGCCCGCCTTGTAAACCTGGAGAGGGAAGGTTGGAGTAGCAGAGGGAGGAGAGAAAGAGGGAGGAGTAAGAGAGAGGTGAGAAGTAGAAGGTTAGAGCAACAGCAAAAACTGCGCAGAAAACTTAAAGAATGCACCAGCAAAGAAGGTTTTGCAAAAGCAAAAGATGCGCGCAAAGCAAAACCCAGAGATTGCACACCTGGAGGAGGTCGGAGTAGAGAGGTAGGAGGAGAGCGCTGATGAAGGCCATCGTGCCGAAACGCGTACGCTCAGCCTGGGAAGATATTTCCTTGTCTACGTGATCCCTACCTAGCCTAGGCACCTACGAATGAGTGAATAAGTGGATACTAGAACGTGTTTAGTCTGCTGGATCCAGGTCGAATCTCTCCTATAATGAGCGCAGGGCACCAGGGCAAAAGATCCGCGCAAAACCCAGAAATGGCACACCTGGAGGAGGTCGGAGTAGAACAGTGATGAGGACACGCCGTCGAAGATGAGAGGGTTCCACACGAGCACGAGAGAGTGCTCCGTGGCGCTCAGCCGGATCAGCGTCGCTCGAAACAAGCTCTCCCCTTCCCCTGCTCCCGCTGCCCCTGCTGCCGCTGCTGTTGCTGTTTCTCCGCCCTTGCTGCTGCTGCCGCCCCCGCCGCTTCCAGCTGCTGCTGCTGCCGCCACCGCCGCCGCTGCTGCTTTGGCTGCTGCCGCTCCTCCTCTTCCTGCTAACAGCCCAACTTCTGCTGCTCCCATCACTCCTCCCCCACTCACTCCCATCCCCCCCATGCCACCCCCACTGCCTCCACTTTCCCCATCCGCCCCACTCCCTCCCACAACCAGCTGAACTGCTACCTCCTCCGGCGTCCTCAGGCAAAATGGCCGTCTCGCCTCCGCGATTATCCCCGCTATAAGCTTGTTTCGTTTGGAGTACTTTGCGCCGGAAATATCCACCAGAGCGAGCTTAAAAGGAGGGCCATGTGTGGGGTGGGTGTGGATCTGCGTGACACACTCCAACACACTCTCTGCTGTCTTCCAGAAGCTGGGAGCAAAGAGGCTCGGCGCGAACAACCCTGCTAGGGCCCGATACACAAACCCCCCTCCACCTCCTCCCCTGCTCTCCCCACCACCCGCTGCTACACTCACTCTTTCTCCTCCCCTTCCTGCTCCTGCTCCGGCTCTTCCTCCTCCTCCTGCTCCTGCTGCTCCTGCTGCTCCTCTCCCTGCTTGCCTCCTGTTCTTGCCGTTCCCAGCAGCACCAGCAGCGCCAGCGCCAGCAGCAGCAACAGCAGCAAGCTCAGTCCTGAGGGAATTGATAGCTGCATCCATCACAGCCGCTTTCAACCGCAGCGAACCGCTGTTACTGCTGCTGCTGCTGCTGCCCCTGCTGCCGCCACCACCAGGACCACCTCTCCCCGACTGCTTGTGCTTGCTGTTGTGCCAGACGACGAAGCGAGAGCGCAGCGCTGCATGGCGCACCACCAGTGCTTGCAGTGAGTGCTGCAGGCGAGGGAAGTTGACCGGGCCCTGTGTGATTGGAGTGGAAAGGTGGACGGGGGAATACGAGCAATGACTTTGGCTTGTGCTTGCTGTTGTGCCAGACGACGAAGCGCGAGCGCAGCGCTGCAGGCGAGGGAAGTTGACCGGGCCCTGTGTGATTGGAGAGGAAGGGTTGGAGAGGAAGGGTTGGAGAGGAAGGGTTGGAGAGGAAGGGTTGGAGAGGAAGGGTTGGAGAGGAAGGGTTGGAGAGGAAGGGTTGGAGAGGAAGGGTTGGAGAGGAAGGGTTGGAGAGGAAGGGTTGGAGAGGAAGGGTTGGAGAGGAAGGGTTGGAGAGGAAGGGTTGGAGAGGAAGGGTTGGAGAGGAAGGGTTGGAGAGGAAGGGTTGGAGAGGAAGGGTTGGAGAGGAAGGGTTGGAGAGGAAGGGTTGGAGAGGAAGGGTTGGAGAGGAAGGGTTGGAGGGAAGGTAGAGAGGAGAGGGGGTGACAGAAGGGGAAGGGAGGGGAGCAGAATTTGAAGCAATGGGGCGAGGGTATAGAGGTCGTTTCACACCACCACTGCATGGCACACGCATTGCACACGCATGGCACAAGAATGGCACACGCATGGCACACGCATGGCACACGCATGGCACACGCATGGCACACACATGGCACAAGCATGGCACACGCATGGCACACGCATGGCACACGCATGGCACACGCATGGCACACGCATGGCACACACATGGCACACGCATGGCACACGCATGGCACACGCATGGCACACACGTGGCACACACGTGGCACACACGTGGCACACGCATGGCACACGCATGGCACACGCATGGCACACGCATGGCATGGCACTCGTCTCACTCACCTGCAGGCGCCACACATGGCACTCGTCCAGCAGCTGCGGGTGCGGCAAAGCATGGTACGCCACCCACAGCAGCACCTGCGCCTCTGACAGCGCCACCCCCACCACTCTGCCCGCCCGATCCCCCTCACTTGCCCCACCAGCTGCAGAACCAGCACCACTAGCAGCAGCACTCGCAGAGCCAGCAGCAGCAGCGGCTGAAGGGAAGGGTGCCAGGCGCAGCAACCTCTCCCCCGAGCCTGCCTGCCCCTCCTCCTCCCCATCACTGTCTTCCGACCCTTCATCCAAACTCAAGCCCAGTCCGCCCCCACCACCAGAACCAGTACCAGCAGCCGCAGCCGCAGCAGAAGCGGCAGCGGCAGTAGCAGCGCGGTGCAGGGCAGCAGCAAGACCCATGACAGTGGGCGCACTGAACATGTCTCTCAACGTCAGCCCTGCGCGGTAATACTCTGCCCTCGTTCCTCCCGCTACACCTGCTGCTGCTGCTTCCCCAGCGTGAGCTGAACCCACGCTCCCACTGCTGCCTTTGCCCCCTCTTTTCCCGCCCTTTCCTCCCCCCTCCCCTTTTCCACCTCCTTTTCCTTGCACCCTACCACCAGCAGCCACAGCGGCAGCAGCAGCAGCAGCAGCAGCACTGCCGCCATCCCCCCCATTGCTCCCACCCTCCTTAACAGAACTCTCGATAGAATCAACCAACCTCGCGACCACCTGTGCTGCCAGAAACAAATTCCCTCCCAGCTCAAAAAAGTTTGAATTTCTCCGCAACCTGCCCGCCTCGACTCCGGGCAGCACCTCAGCAAATATCACCGCAACTGCCCGCTCCTCCGCCGTCTCTAACGGATCCCCGCTGCCCGCTCCCAACCCCGTGCCGCCCACAGACCCGTCCTCATCACAAGAGACAAAAAAGGAGTCCGCGGGCGGCAGAGGGAGGCGGGAGCGGTCGGCCTTGCCCGTCTTGGTCCAAGGGAGGTGGTGAATCACGTGGATAGCTGAGGGAACAGCGTGAGGAGGGAGGGCGGATCTGAAATACTCTCGGACCTTCTTGGGTATCACTGCTGCCAATTGCTGTGACGCCAGTAGCTGCTGAGCTGGAGTCTGCATCCCTTTCCCCCCGCCTTTCCCCGCCCCTTTCCCCGCCCCTGCCCCCGCCCCTGCTTCCCCCCCATCCCCTCCCCCCACCCCTGCCTCTCCTGCAGCCGCCACAGCAGCAGCAGCCGCTGCGAGCGACGGCTTAAGCAGCAGATAGGCAGCGAGATACGGCTGTCTCCCAGGGTCATGCGCCCTGAACGCCACTACACAGCGCGCCACCCCATCCACCTTACACCCCGCTTCCTCTATCTGCACCGGCTCCACACTCAACCCTCGGATATACACCTGCTGCTCTAATCTCCCCAGAAACTGCACACACCCGTCTGGTAACCACCTCCCTCGGTCTCCTGTTCGAAACAGCTTCCAGTCGTGAACGCCCATGCCGTACGGGTTGCTCACGAACCTCTGCCGCGTCTCCCCGTGCCTCTTCCAATACCCTCTCGCCACGTGTATCCCTGCAATGCACACCTCGCCGCCCGCACCGATCGGGAGGAGCTCGAGGTTTGGCCCGAGAATGTACACGTGGACACCTGGCAGTGGCCGGCCGATTGTATCTGCCACCCTGTCGCCAGGCCGCCAGACTGCACACGTGGCGGCCAGGGAACACTCGACAGCCCCGTAAATATCTACCACCACACGTCCGGCCCGAAGCCAGCGCCAAACCAGAGCTCTAGGTACGGGCTCGCCTGAGAAGGCCACCCAGCGCAGGCTCGGGAGCGACCGGGGCTCCAACCACATCGCGACACTTGGCAGTGTGAGCAGCCCAGAAACACCCAGGAGAGAAGCTTCTGAGGAAAGTTCCGCACATGCCTGTGCGTGAACCACAGCAGACTCATGAGCAGCAGCAGCAGCAGCAGTAAGAGCCCCTGCTCCTCCTGCTCCTGCTCCTCCTGCTCCGCTAAAAGCAGATTCGTTATAAGGAGCAGAGCTGTGCGGCGAATGGGGTTCGAGGGGCGAGGGGCAGATGGCAGCAGCGGCGCCGACATCAAATGCTGTGAACAGCTCAAAGAGGTGCGCGGGCAGGTGGGCGGGGGAGATCTGCGCTCTCACATCCACTGGTGGGGCCGCTCCCGCTGTAGCGGCCACCGCCGCTGTAGCAGCCGCTACAGCCGCCGCAGCAGTAGCGGCTGTAGCACCTGTAGCCGCAGTGGCAGGCGCAGCAGTGGCAGGCGCAGCAGTGGCAGGAGCAGGATTCGCAGCAGCAGCAGCAGCATGTTCAGAGGGCAATCGGTGTCTAAAGCAGTGCACCATGTTGACCACGCCCTGATGCTGCAACACCACGCCCCGCACGCGCCCCAGCTCATTCTCTCGATACACCACACAGCACGTCCCACTCGCCCTTGGTCTCAACCCCACCAGCACATCCAATCCCGCACTCCCTGCACTCACACCTGCACTCGCCCCCACACCAGCCCCGCCCCCTCCCCCTCCCGCTCCTGCTTCTCTACCAGTCATCCCTTCATCTCCAGGCCCCCAGTCGCCCAGCAACGCTCGCTCCGCCCTCTCCTCCTCCACCTCCCCTTCGATCACCTCCTCTACCGCCCACACAGGCAGCGCCCTCGCCCAACGCCCCTCGCCTGAAACACCACTGCTGTGATTGCTGTCAGCGGCACCCATGCTGCTGCTGCTGGGGAAGAAAATCGCCACTCCAGTCCTCCGATCGCTGCTGATGCTGATTCTACTGTCGCTCACACCGGCCTCTCCTCTTGAATCCGCCTTCCCTGAGCTTCCCGAGCTGCCAGCCCGCTTGTGTTTCAACAGATGATGCCGCCGCCGCCGCTCCTGCTGCTGCTGATCCTGCTCCTGATCCTGCCTCTGGCCTACCTCCTCTGGCCCTGCCTGATTGGCCACTCGCGGACTTGACGATGACGTGGCGGCCGCGCCACGTGGAGAGCGGGGCGTCATCCACATCAGCGCGTCCGCCAGGTGGCGCGACGTGAGCACGAGCATGATCCCGGACTCCTCCACAATCTCCTCCAGCTTGCCAAGAGGCAGGGAGGGATCCAGAGGCACATACGCCCGTCCAGCCATCATAATCCCGAGAATAGCTGCTACCCAATCCACCCCTCTCTCCATGCACACCCCCACTAGCTGCACCTCTGGTCTCGCCCGGCTTGCCCCCACTGCTGCTGCTGCCGCTGCCGCTATGTTCGCCCCTGCTCCTGCCCCTCCTCCTCCTGCTGCTGGTGTTGCTGAAACGGTTGGGGAACCGACAGAAACACCCGTGCCGTTGGCAGCAGCCGCAGCAGCAGCAGCAGCGGCCGTAGCAGCAGCGGCCGTAGCAGCAGCAGCAGCAGCCGCGGCAGCAGCAGAGGAGGCGGCCTTGGGGGTGGCGGCAGGGGTGCTGTGGCTGCTACCCCGGTGCGACGCCGGGATGAGAGCAGGGCGAGGAAGCTTCTTGGCAACGAACCTCGCGATCAGCAGGGCACGCGCATGCAGCTGCACGTACGAAACCGCTTCCCTCACCACCACCTTCGTCCCTTCCACCCCTCCTCCTCCTCCTCCTCCTCCTCCTCCTCCTCCTCCTCCTCCTCCTCCTCCTCCTCCTCCTCCTCCTCCTCCTCCTCCTCCTGCTACTCCCGCTCCCGCTCCTCTTTCCCCTCCTCCTCCAGCCCCCCACGCTCCCCCTCCTCCCGCTCCACCTCCCCATGACCCCCCTCCGCCCGCGCCCCCGCGCCCTCTCCCCCGGTGCAGCAGCAGCAGTGCAGTGGCAGCGGGGTTAACCTTCACCTGCCGTTCAAACAGATCCACCAGGGTGCGATCGCGCACATTCAACCCCCGGCCCCTGCTCCTCGCCCCCCTGCCCACACTCCCTGGCGCCGCATCTGACAGATTTGTCACCGTGTCAAATCCTGATGTTACCACACTGCCCGCTGCCCCTGCTCCCCCCGCTCCTCCCCCTCCCCCTGAGCCTCCGCCTCCGCCTGCCCTTGCTCCGCCTGCTGTCCCCCCTCTGGCGCTAGAACCCACCTGAGACTGGGCGGCGGACGAGGCTGCACCAGGGGAAGGAGGAGGGGGAGGGAGGGATGCAATGGCTGTAGCAGCATCACCTGCTGCAATCCCTGCTCCTACTGCTCCTGCTACTGCTCCTGCTGCTAATGTGCCTGCTGTTAATGCTCCGGCTGCTCCCTCTACTACCCTCCCTTCAGTATTATCACCTGCTCCAACAATCACCCCATCTCCGCCCCTCTCCCCACCACCTTCCACACCCTCTCCCTTCCCCTCCTCTTGCTTCTTCTTCCTCCTTAGCCTATCCTTCTCCCTCAACTTATCCCTGCCGCCTCTCCCCACCCCCCTCCCATCCCTATACCCCCCAACATCCAGCAGAATCTTCCTCCCTTCTTCCTCCTCATGCCAAAACGCATGCGGCACCAGCCGCCCGGAAAATTTGTCCTCTAGCTGCTCCCTTTCCGCGTCGGTCAGCACGGGCAGGTAATAAATCGGCAGCGCCTTGATCGACGGCAGAGATGCAATCCTCTCCACCAAAAAACAAAAATTCGCGCTCAGCCTTGCAACCGTAGATTCATCGTACTTAGACACATCATACCGCCACCGAATCAGCACCGCTTTCTTTTTTGACCCGGGGACAAACAACCCTGCCAGCCCGCACGACGGTATATCCTCCCCTTCCTCTTCAATCGTCTGCCTATCAATCCCATACGCAAAATACTTGAAAAAGGCCGGAAACCCTTTCGCAACTGCAGCTGCACTGGCAGCAGCCACCCTACTCCTTGCTGTTGACGCTGATCTAGCCGTCCCCCGCCCCACGCTCTCCCTATCCACATCAGACATGCCATCCCCGGACACGCCCCTCCCCCCCGCCCGCACACTCCGCCCCTCCCCCGCCCCCCCACCTAACGACCGTGCCAAACTCCCGCTGTGGTCTCTCGTAGGGTTATCCAACCCACCGCTGTGACCCACCCCCGATGCGCCTCCTCCCTCCTCCGCGCTCCCCACGGCTTCAAACAACCGCGATCCCACGTGGGCCAGCATCTCAAGCAAAGTCACGTCCCTGTCGGAACGCCCCGCCCCGGATGCACCTCCCCCAGATACACCCGCCCCCGATGCGCCTGCCCCGGATGCGCCTGCCGCTGCCACGGTTCCCGGGTCCGATCTGAGGCTGTGCTGCTTCGCCAGCCCCATGGACGGCAGACCCGCCGCCCCCAGACTGCCCTGCCGCGGAACCGCGCCTGGGGGCGCAGCAGCCGGGGGGAGCGCGGAAGGGGGGAGTAGGTTGTCCGCTTGCGGGGCGCGCGCGGGTAAGTTATCCATTTCTACGTTCACCACCAGTAGTTGATCCTCGTCCTCCTCTCCTACGGCGGAAAAACTCGTTATAGAGCTCATCGCGTCCGATATAGTGTCGTGAAACAGCCCGTTGGCGCGCCAGCTAACCCTAAGATCTTGCCCCGACGGCGGCGCGTCGTACAGCTTCCCCCCCTGCCACAGCCGCAGCAACCCGCCCCCCGCAGGCTTCGCGGAAGCTGCTCCCGCCGCTCCTGCGCCTGCTGCTACGGGTTTTGCCCCTCCCCCAGCCATTGCGCCAACCATGGTGGAAAGGAGTCCTGTGGCTAGTCCACCTGGCCGCATTCCCTGCGGTATGGTTCCCCCCTTGCCTGCTCCCACGCCCCCGCCCGGACCTGCGGATGAATGGTACGCCGCGCGCGCCGCCGCTGCTAGCGCTCCTCCCGCTCCGCCTCCTCCTCCGGCCCCGCCGCCGCCGCCGCCGATCGCGGACAACCGCGTGGCCTGGCGCGACGACTCGAACTCGGAATCGGAGACCTCACTATCGGAGAAAAGCGACTGGCGGTGGCCGACAGCGCCAGCGTCACCGTGCCCCCTTCCCCCGCCTCCCCCTCCCCCTCCCCCGCCCTTGTGCGCGTCCGCCGGTGGCGGCTCATCGTCCGCGTCTTCCGCCTGCAGTATGTACCACCCGAACGATACCCCCACGGGGAAATCCCTCCGCCTGGGGTTGTATCGGTGCAGAGTGGTGCAGAAGGCTGTTAGGAGAAGCAGAGGGATGGGAGCTCCCCACGGGAGGCCGGTCAGAGGGCCCCATGTCATACCTACGCGCTCGAGCTTCTCGATCGTCGCCGCGTCGATTAGACCTGGAACCCATGCGTACTCCTCTGATTGCTCCGGCCGGCCCGGAATAGCCGGCTGACGGGTAGTTGACGGCGGGAGAATTTCCATAACTGGACCGCCAACCGGGGAGTTCAGATATTACGGTGTACGAGTCTACAGCCGTCCGGTGATGCTAAGTCGGGAAAAAGCAAGTCAGCTGCTGCCTAAGCGGTTCGCCAAGAGATGAGATGGAACGAGTCACCTGAGAAACGAACACCGAAGCGAGCGTCATGGGTTACCCGTGAAAACGGCAGGAAAACGGCAGGAAAACGGCAGTACGTCGCCGAGAAAAGAACTCGCACGGTAGTAACCTGCAACCTGGATACGTGATAATCGCTAGAATTACAGAAGCATCCTATGAACGGAACCCCAAATCGAGCACAATCGAAGCATGTACGGATCCTGTTGCGGTAGAACCAAGGCTGTCTGGCGGGAGCTAAAAGGAACTGACGTAGAAGTACTGCTGCTGGAAGAAGACAGCCTTGGAATTACCTGCAACTCCCACCAAGCCTCACTTCGAGGAATCCTAGAAATTGGGAAAAGCACGGCCGGGAAGAGCAGGTTGGGCACCCCTGACAGCGCATGCTGGCGAGGCGTGGCGACGCTGACGAAGACGTCGTGGTCATGAAATTTTGAGGTGGAAGTGGGTGTGACGAAGGGGTTTTGTGTAACAGTTAGTTTCGCGCAATTGAGATATCGTGCACGACTCGTGGTGAAGTGTGGTTCGTCAAGCAGGGGACGGTCTTGGTTCTGACAGACAGTCGCAGCCTGTGACAGTTTGCGCGCGAAACACTGGTGTCGACAAAGAGTGATTCGTTGTTGTTTGGCCAGTGATGAGTTTCTCTGTGATTTGACTCACTTTACTTGTTCTCCCTACAGCGATTGTGAGTTTACTTCAACATCTAATCTGTTGTGGCACGCAGAATTTTGACAACGCTGCAAGCGAAGGCGTGTTCGCCTGTGGCTACCCCAGCCACTGTCGCAGCTCAGATCTCATTTGAGGCTTCCCAACATATTTCAAATCCCACTTCAAAATTCATCTTGGTAGGGGCCGCGCGAACGCGAGCCCCCTCTGCCACAAATTATGACGTGCATCACCGGGAGTTCCGGCGTGCTAGGGACAGGGCCGGCCGGAGTGCAATGGCGGGCCCGCCCCTAGGCCATCGGCCTTATTGATCACCGATTGACCCCGCCCAGGTAAGTATGCCTTCCTCAACTCAACAATTCGTTTTTATTTTCCCAAGAACAAACACAAACCTTCTACGCTGTGGTCCCAGGCTGTACACGTGGAATCGTGTTCAACTGTCTTCGACACTTAGATGTCATCGGAGCAGTTGCGAGCGGGCAAGCTCCAGAAGGGCCAGCAGCCAGCACCAGCAGCAGCTCCATTTCTTCCCAGCAACGAGCGGGTACCCTTTCCAGCCATTGTTCTTCGAACATCACTACTAGCGAGAATAACTCCGTTTCCTTCCGCGAGAGCCGTCACAACGCACGACTCTGCGTCAATATTCAATTAGTTTCCGTCACACTAGTGTTCTTCTGCTCTTACCAATTTCTTGCAATTGCTAAAATGGAAGGACGCGTAGACCAGATTGAGAATTGCTCAAATCCGAATCCCGCGGAAGCGGATTCCGACTCGGCGCGCAGCATCACACGACGGGCGTACGCGCGCGTGGGGCTGTTGGGGAATCCCAGCGACGGCTACAACGGAAAGACTCTTTCCTTCTCCCTCGCCAACTTCTTCGCCGAAGTCACGCTACAGCCTTCGCGAACAATACGAATTAAGCCGTGTGCGGGCGATGACATCACCGAATTCGCGTCGCTTAGCGATCTGGTGCGCGCGTCGATTTGTAACGTTCGATCCAATCGTCCTAACTGTTGCACTCGTCGCGATCGTCCCATTCGTCCTTTAAATAGTCGACTAGCTTTTACCGACACGCCCCGTCACGTGTTTGCCCTCCCTTTCGTGTGTCTTGACTCTAGGGGCGGCACAGGCGGAACGATCCAAGAAGCAGCGGCTTGACCACGCGGATGGCGGCGTTTGTCTTCTAGTGTCGCTGTGCGCGTGTGTCCACGACCACTGCCAGCAGCATGGCGTTGACTTGCCACAACCCGCCGCCTTCACTCTCTCCTACTCCACCAACATTCCTCGCCAGGTAGGGTTACCAATATATTTCGCCAGTATGCCTACCAGCATATTTTGCCTGGCGAATCTCCATCCATTACCTAATATCCTCTCTGCCCATCTTCATGAAAATTCTTATGAACGACCCGCACCATCACCATCACCATCACCATCACCATCACCATCACCATCACCATCACCACCACGAACACCTTGACATCTGCTGTCTCCTTCAACCATCTCTCTCCCTCCACGCGTTAACTTATCCCTTTCTCTCTCTTTCTATTTTCTTTCCCGCTTCCACCAACCAATCAGGTGGGCCTGTCAGGATCCAGTGCAATCATTGCTGCCGCCCTCAGCTGCCTCCTCCATCATTTCCACCTCCACTGCGCCATTCCCGTACCTGTGCGCCCGAACCTCATCCTTGAGGCTGAGAGCAGGCTCGGCATCACCGCGGGCCTGCAGGATCGGGTCATCCAAACCTACGGTGGACTGGTGTTCATGGTTAGTCCCACCTTCCCTCCCCTCCTCCTTTCCCCCCCCCCAAAAAAAAAAGTCACATATGATTTGCTCTACATAAACCCGTTTCCCGGTCTATTGCCCGCCTGTTCAATCTCCTCAAAGTGGGAACAGGGCTGAGATGACATATATCTCAGCTTAAGCTCCCTCGTGGTCCTCGCACCTTCCTCGTCCTCCTTTCCCACCTCTCAGGACTTGAGTGAGCTTTTGAGTCGACTCAAAAGCAGACTTCAGTAAGCCAAGCCTAGAAGCACACGGATACGGCATGAACCAGCCCATGGACGTGGCCCTCTTACCTCCCATATGTGAAGTCCCACTTTCCCCTCACACTTGCTGACTGCTCTTGCTGCCTTTTCCACCCCACCCCACTCGACAGGACTTCAACCAACCACACCTAGATGCGCATGGCTATGGCATGTACCAGCCCATGAATCCGGCCCTCTTGCCGCCTCTGCAGATCATCTTTGCAGCCAATCCCAGCGACTCAGGCCACGTGCACAGCTCCGTGCGTGCCAGGTGGCAGGCCGGTGACGTGGCGGTGTGCCAGGCCATGGCTGACGTGGCAGCGCTGGCAGAGGAGGGGCGGGATGCTCTGGTGGCACGGGATTGGGGGAAGCTTGCTCGGCTGATGGACCGAAACTTTGACCTGCGCAGGTGTGATTTGAGTGCCCAGCACTAGCTGGGTGGCTGGTACCCCCGATGAAGGTATGGTACGACCTGAAGGTATGGTACGACCTGAAGGTATGGTACGACCTGAAGGTATGGTACGACCTGAAGGTATGGTACGACCTGAAGGTATGGTACGACCTGAAGGTATGGTACGACCTGAAGGTATGGTACGACCTGAAGGTATGGTACGACCTGAAGGTATGGTACGACCTGAAGGTATGGTACGACCTGAAGGTATGGTACAACCTGAAGGTATGGTACGACCTGAGTGTCACTTTCATGTAAAGGCAAGGTAGTGAAGAAGTGGAATTGACGTTCTGCATCTCAAGAATTTCCCTTTTTCACACACCCGGCCCCTGGGCCACACACCCCCAGCCCCTGGACCACACACCCCCTGCTCCATCCCTCTTTCCACCTTTGTGCCCCTCGCCACCTTCCAGGCAGATGTTTGGGGACGAGGTGCTGGGGGAGGTGAATCTGAGCATGGTGCAGGCAGCACGGGCAGTGAGGGCAGCAGCCAAGTTCACAGGCAGCGGTGGTGCTGTAGTGGCGTTTTGCCCTGAGGGGGAGCAGCAGAGAGCGAGGCTCAAAGAGGAGTGCAGGGAAAAGGGGTTCTGTGTGGTGGATGCTCAGGTGGCCTCTGCTGTGGAGTTGGATTGAGGGGTTGATATTAGTACCAGGCTACCAGCTGTGGCGGCCTTCTGCCCTGAGGGGGAGCAGCAGAGAGCAAGGCTGGAAGAGGCGTGCAGGGAGAAGGGATTCTGTGTGGTGGATGCTCAGGTGGATGCTCAGGTGGCCGCTGCTGTTGGTGCTGCCACTGAAGTTGATTCAGGAGTCCAGGTTTTCTAGCCATTGTGGAAGCAATGCTTTGTTACAAAGAGAATCTTTTGTCATATTGTGACCAGTGAGTCAGTGACAGAGACTCGTGCCTGCAGTTCCACCGATGCGTCAGAGACAGGAATAACTCATAGCCCGGCTTTTTCAGGACCACACAAAGCATCCACTACAGGCTTACCCAGTAGCTGCAAGAAAGCCGTAAAGGGAACATGCAAGCAGCAACCAGGGAACACCTGATAGAGATTGTGCAGTTGGCTGTCTATAAACACAGGCCGGGGTGCAGCAGACCAAAGGACCTGCCTGCTGCAGCGGCACATGGCTTGCATTTACTTATTTGTAGAGACGTCGGGTGTCAGAACGGAAAGATGGTGCATTGAATTAGCCTTTGTAGTACTGACGGTAGTGCGAGTGCCAGCAAAAGCAGCAGAGGTGATAAACCAGGTGCGGTAGGTCACGCGCTGGTGGCAGCAGTGGTGGCAGCAGTGGTGGCAGCCATGCCCTGTAGCTGCTCCATGCGTCTGTTCACAAGAGTTAGTTCACCCTCTGCCTCCTCTGCCTCCTCTGCCTCCTCAGCCTGCTTCTTGAGCCCACTGAAAACGTCATGCACTAGCAGCAGTGGTGGCAGCCATGCTTTGCAGCTGCTCCATGCGTCTGTTAACAAGAGCTAGTTTCTCCTCCGCCTCCTCCGCCTGCTTCCTCACTCCGTCTACAACTGCCGCTGGCGCCTTGTCCACAAACTGGGGGAACGAACAAGGGAAGGGAGGGAGGGAAGGCTTGAGGGAAGGCAGGGGGGGGGTTGCGTGCACCCTCACTCCGTCTACTACTGCCGCTGGCGCCTTGTCCACAAACTGCAGGAAGAAAAGAAGCGAGGTCCAATGGGTTTGGGAGAGGGAAGAGAAAGGAGGAAGAGTTGGTCTACAAACTGGGGAAGGGACAGAGGCAAGGACGGATGGTGCTGGGAGAGGGAAGAAAAGGGAAGAGAAAACAGGTTTATGGATCTAGCTTCTCCCTGGCCAATAACACGTTCACAATGCACCTGCACCTTATTGGAAGAGAGGCGAGATTGGCAGGAATTGAGATCAGCAGTGAGATTGGTCTGCTGCTTGCTTTCCCAGGCGCTGCAGCTCCTTCAAGACACACACGTATGGATAAGCGCTGCTAGCCACCTTTACACACACATGTCATTGCTAGCTGCTCACCTTTTTGGAGGAGAGGCGGGAGCGGCAGGAGTTGAGGTCGGCAGTGAGCTTGGTCTGCTGCTTGCCCAGGCGCTGCAGCTCCTTGGGAACATCCACCATGTCCGCTATGGGCAGATACGCCTCTAGGCCCTCTGCTGCCACCACATGCACACATGCTGACGCTGCCGCCTCGTCTGGGATAGGGCGGGAATAACAGGGGACGAGGGAGGGGTGTGGGGATTGAGAGGAGTGGGGTCAGGAGGGGTTGGCATGACAACAGGGAGGGGAGTGGTGGGTGGATGGCTGGGGAGGGGAACGAAACCCCTTCAGTCAGGCGCTGCAGCTGCTTCGGCACGTCCACCATGTCCGCTATGGGCAGATACGCCTCTAGGCCCTCTGCTGCCACCACATGCACACATGCTGACGCCGCTGCCTCGTCTGGAATGGAGTCGGGGAGAGGAGAAAGGGTGAGGGTGGGGACGGGTGCGGAGTGAAAGGAGGGGGGTACGAGGGGTTTGAGAGGGGTGCGGCGGCATGAAGAGGGGGAGTTGTGTGGAGTAAGCTAGACAGTTGGCTGGGGAACACGGCTGCTTGCCCAGGCAGCGCAGCTTCTTAGGCAGACGGCGAGCCCACAGTGATAGCGAGACGGCTCACCTGGCAGTGCTGATGTGATGTGCAGAGAGGCAGGGTCGATTATTTATGCGCATAGAAAAAACGACTCACTACACTCAGCACATTCGCGATGGCTCACCTGGCTGTGCTGATGTGATGTGCAGTGAGGCAGACTCACTACACTCAGCACATTCGCGATGGCTCACCTGGCTGTGCTGATGTGATGTGCAGTGAGGCAGACTCACTACACTCAGCACATTCGCGATGGCTCACCTGGCTGTGCTGATGTGATGTGCAGTGAGGCAGACTCACTACACTCAGCACATTCGCGATGGCTCACCTGGCTGTGCTGATGTGATGTGCAGTGAGGCAGACTCACTACACTCAGCACATTCGCGATGGCTCACCTGGCTGTGCTGATGTGATGTGCAGTGAGGCAGACTCACTACACTCAGCACATTCGCGATGGCTCACCTGGCAGTGCTGATGTGATGTGCAGTGAGGCAGGGTCGACTCGAGCAAGCAAGGCTAGCACGTCCCTCTCGCCCTGCTCAACACGAGTACAAGACGGGTCGACACACGGCAGAAATATTCGTGTGTCAAGCAAGGCTAGCAGGGTCAAGGAGAATTCTCAAAAGTCAAGCAAGGCTAGCACGTCCCTCTCGCCCTGCTCAACACGAGTAGAAGACGGGTTGACACACGGCAGATGGACACATGGCAAGAGCCAATACACAATGCTTCCTTGCTTAGAAGGACACAGCCAATGCCAATACACATAATTCTTCTTGTTTGGGTCGTGCCAAAATACAGGCTCAACAGAACATGACACATCAAGAGAGAAAAGTCCCTTACATCAGCAGGATAAGGTAAGTTGACTTTTGAGTCGACTCAAAAGTCTTCTTGTTTGGGTCGCGCCAAAATACAGGCTCAACAGAACATGACACATCCAAGAGAGAAAAAGTCCCTTACATGAGCAGGATAAGGCAATGCGGCACGCACCTGAATGGCAGGAGAGAGGGCGGGCGCAGCGATGACAGTTGCAGCGATCTTCTTGGCCGGTTCCACTGAATACTCCGCCCTCACATTGCGGATGGCCCGCACCTGCGTTTGGGGGGGAAGGGGCCAAGGATGTGGGAGGGTGTGATTGCCCTGCAGCGATCTTCTTGGCCGGTTCCACTGAATACTCCGCCCTCACATTGCGGATGGCCCGCACCTGCGTTTGGGGGGGAAGGGGCCAAGGATGTGGGAGGGTGTGATTGCCCTGCAGCGATCTTCTTGGCCGGTTCCACTGAATACTCCGCCCTCACATTGCGGATGGCCCGCACCTGCACGGGGGGAGAAGGAGATGGGGGGTTGTGCAGCAATGAAGGGTGTGTTTGTCTGCATAGAAGCTGGGTTGCCTTATGGCTATCTTGTTGGCTGGCTCCAACTGTGTACTCCGCACTCACGTTGCGGATAGCTCGCACATGCATGCAGCAGGGGGGTGGAAGGGGGAAGGGAAGGGGAAAGTAAAAAAAAAAGGGAGGGTGTAAAAATCAGGAATAGGATAAACAAGGTGATATGATAAACAAGGTGATAGGATAAACAAGGTGATAGGATAAACAAGGTGATAGGATAAACAAGGTGATAGGATAAACAAGGTGATAGGATAAACAAGGTGATAGGATAAACAAGGTGATAGGATAAACAAGGTGATAGGATAAACAAGGTGATAGGATAAACAAGGGAGCTAGTTGCCCTCGTCGTGCGGGTGGCCCCCATTGCACCTGTGTGCATCTGACAGACAGGGGAGTAAACCAATGCTACAAATGTACAGATGAGTGAGGGCTCACAAATGAGAGCGAGTAGCTGCAGGTGGTTTTTGAGACTTGTCAGAAACCACCTGCAGCTACTCGCTTTCTCTCACCAGCGCTTCAATCAAGGTCATCGAGTTCCTCCTGGGCCTGGAACCTCAGCAAGCAAGCAGCGGGCCAGGGCGCGAGCATGAGCTAGGGTAGGGAGGGGGCGTGGGGCAGCGCCAGCCAGAGCTGCCCTATCACAGGTGAACGGCATGAGTGCCTGCTTGCACGGCCTTGGCTTTCAGATCCTCGCTTCTGCTCACCAGTGCTTGCAGGTCGTCAAATTCCTCCTGAGCCTGCGTGTCTCTGGGAAGCCCAGCAGCGGGCCAGGGCGCGAGCATGAGCGAGGGCAGGGAGGGGGCGTGCGGCAGAGCCTGCCAGAGCTGCTCGGAGGCGAATGGCATGAAGGGGTGCAGCAGTCGCAGCACGGAGTCAAACGCGTATGCCAGCACGGCCTGCGCCTGCTGCTGAGCGCGTGCATGTGCCTCGTCTGCTGGTGCGTCTTGAGAGCCTGCTGCCTGCCCCTCGCCCTCACCCTCACTGCTGCTGCCATCACTGCTGCTGCTGCTGCTGGAGGAGCGGAAGCCGCTGTAGAGGCGGGTCTTGCTGGCCTCAATGTACCTGACGGGCGTGGAGGGATGGAAGGAGGGCTGAGGTGAGGTCCATGAAAGGCAACGAGGAGTTGCGAAAGCCGCTGTTGCATGATGCGTAGACTGTACTTCCGGGAGGTTCTAACACGGGATGCCTAGGGCTCAGCCATACCAGTCAGCAAAGTCGCTCCAGAAGAAGTCGTAGATGCGCCGGCCTGCTGCATTGAACTCATACGCGATGTATGACTCTGTGACCTCGTCCACCAGTGCATGCAGACGGGAGAGCTGCGGGGGGGGGGGGGGGGGGGGGGGTCAGAGAGAATTGCACAAGGAGGTGGGGAGTGAAGGGCCGTTGAACTCATAGGCGATGTATGCCTCTGTGACCTCGTCCAAAAGCGCGTGCAGGCAGGAGAACTGCACGGAAGAGCAATGCGAGCATGTAAAGTGAGGGGGGATGGAGATGAATTAAGAACAGAAGTGCACGGCTATGTCTTACAGGAGATGACAGCAAGGTAAAGACGTTTCGAGGATTTGAAGAAGCAAGAGAGCAACGGGTGCGAAGCTGGAAACCACCATCCACTGTGCTGCATGTTGCAACAGCATTGAACTCACCAGCCATCTCTCGGCCAATGGGAGCTGAGCAAGCGCCTCGGGAGTGTCAAACTGCCACGTGGGGAGGAGGGGAGCAGAATACGGGAGGAAGAGAGTGGGGGTTCAATGATTGCTTGCAAGAGAGCAAAGAGGCAGGGAAGAAGGAGTCTCTGAAAGCGGAAAACGACTTGGTGTCGCACGAGGGGCATTAGAAGGAGGACGACTCCCAGCTTTCGCTTCGCCTACACACACACCTTTAACGCACTGCACATACACACACCTTGACTTGCCCCAGGCGCTGCCACTGCTTCTCGTCGTCCTTGCTAGGAAGGTTCTGCAGAATGAACTTCCCCGCGTTCCATATCTTGTTCACAAACGCCCTGTTGGCGCCCAGACGCTCCATAGACAGATTCACGTCCTGCTTGTAACGAGGATAAAGCAAGAGGATCAATGAAGAAAAGAACAGCAAAGCAGCAAAAACCAGATGAGATACCATACTGGCGAAACGAGCATAAACACTGTTAGCTACACTATTGCAATTAAGAGGAGCATAGACATGGGAATGAATCCATCTACCTCGTAACTTACCTGACCCGGACAATTTTATATCTGCCCACGGGAAAACATCTAACCTGCCCTCGAGCAAGCGAGCTCACCTGGCCGGGAGTGGTGCCGGTGGCGAGGGTGTATCTGAGGGCATCGGTGCCAAACTCGTTGATGGTGTCCAGTGGGTCCACCACGTTGACCTACCTTTGAGTCAACTCAGAACTTACCTGGCCGGGAGTGGTGCCGGTGGCGAGGGTGTATCTGAGGGCATCGGTGCCAAACTCGTTGATGGTGTCCAGTGGGTCCACCACATTGCCTAGCGACTTGGACATCTTGCGCCCCTGCATGAGGGGCAGAAGGGGAACGGGAAGGGGGTTTTGGAAAGTGAAAAGAGAAGAGGGTTGCGATGGTTGAGTGACCACATTGCCCTGCGACTTGGACACCTTTCGACCCTGCATGTGTTGCAGGAACGGAAAGAGAGGCCAGGCGGATGTTGTTGCGGGGTTTACATTCCAGAGGGAAAGACACGAGCGCAGTGCCTGCCCGGATGGAGCACCAACATACTCCAGCATACCACCATATGATTGAAGAAGGGTTTTGAGGCGTCTCAAAACCCTTCTCCAACATACTCCAGCATACCACCATATGATTGAAGAAGGGTTTTGAGGCGTCTCAAAACCCTTCTCCAACATACTCCAGCATATGCCAGCATACCACCATACCATACACAGCACCCCATCACACACACCATGCAGGTAGATGGAGTGGAAGGGCAGCTTGCCTGTGAACTCCATTGGGAAAACTTAACCCCTGTTAGAATACAACACCCGGCATACACCATACACACCATCCCATCACACACACCTGTGCATCCCTCACGAGCCCGTGCAGGTAGATGGTGTGGAAGGGGAGCCTGCCTGTGAACTCCATTTTAGAAACCTAACTCAATGAGAATACAACACACAACACACACCATAAACAGTAACCCATCCATCGCACATACCTGTGCATCCCTCACGAGCCCGTGCAGGTAGATGGTGTGGAAGGGGAGCCTGCCTGTGAACTCCAGTCCCATCATGGTCATGCGCGCCACCCAGAAGAACAGGATGTCGTGCCTGCATGGAATGCCACACATGGGCGGGATACAACCGGGGGGGGGGGGGAGGAGGGGTAAAGATGACACTTGAGTCGACTCAAAAGGCAGCCTGGCTGTATCATGGTCATACGCGCCACCCAGAAGAACAGAATGTCGTGCCTGCATGCCATGCCATGCCATTCCAAGCCATGCCATGCCATTCCATGCCACATGCCATGCCATGCCATGCCATGCCACATGCCACCGTGCCACATGTCATGCCATGCCATCCATGGGCGGTATACAGGTGAAGGGGGGAGTGGGCTACAGGTGAAGGGGGGAGTGGGCTACAGGTGAAGGGGGGAGTGGGCTACAGGTGAAGGGGGGAGTGGGCTACAGGTGAATTGGACGCAAGGAGCAACAATGGTGTGAAAAATAAACCGTTTTCGAGCCAATGGTTCTTACCCTGTTTCCATGACCGAGGTGGGGTAGAACTTCCGGTAGTCTTCTGCTGACTCATTGGGCCAACCCAGTGTGCTGAACGGCCACAGGCCACTGCGATGGGTAAGGCGAAAGGCAGAATAAGGCGACAAACACAACGAAAAGTCACTCTTAGCACAGACAGAGCACGTGTCTGAAGCTGTCTGGAAACATCAAGCCCGAGTTTGAAACCACTATGACTGGCAGTTCCCACAAGTGCATCTTCTAAGTGAGGGTAGCAATGGGAACCAGGTTAAAAGTGGGAGGATGGCGCCTTGATTGAAAACGATGCGCCTCAAATTCGTATTCTCAAAAACCACATGCATACCTTGAGAACCAACTGTCAAGCACATCAGGATGCTGATCCAATCGCACTGTCTTGACCGCCTCATCCCCGTAGGTAATTTCTGATTCGACTCAAAAACCGCATACGCACCTTGAGAACCACGTGTCGAGCACGTCAGGGTCCTGCTCCAGGCGCACAGTCTCGACTGCCTCGTCCCCGTAGGTAGTTTCTGAGTGGAATCAAAAACCGCATACGCACCTTGAGAACCACGTGTCGAGCACGTCAGGGTCCTGCTCCAGGCGCACAGTCTCAGCTGCCTCGAGGTGACTTCAGAGTCGACTCAAACGTACCTTGAGAACCACGAGCTTGAATTGCAAAGCCACGTACGCACCTGGAGAACCACGTGTGTCAAGCACATCAGGGTCCTGCTCCAACTGCACAGTCTCAGGTGCCTCATCCCCGTAGGTAATTTCTGAGTCCTTAAAAAACCGCATACGCACCTGGAGAACCACGTGTCGAGCACGTCAGGGTCCTGCTCCAGGCGCACAGTCTCCGCCGCCTCGTCCCCGAACCTCTCCCGAACCTTCTCCCGAGCCTCAGCCTCGGTCCCAGCCACAACATACTCCACCGCCCCCTCCTCAGCACCAGCAGTGCCCTTCCCAGGGAGGGGAGCGGGCGGGGCAGAGTCCCAGGAGGGGTAGAAGACGGGGATGCGGTGGCCCCACCACAGCTGCCGGCTGATGCACCAATCCCTGATGTTGTCCAGCCAGAACTCGTAGATCTGGTGTGTGGGGTACAGAAGGGTTGGGGAGAAACGGGGGCGGTAGTGACTGACGAGAGGTATAGAGAGGGGGGATGCTGGCTGATGCTCCAGCCCTGATGTTGTCCAGCCAGAACTCGTAGATCTGAGAGGGATAGAGAGAAAGGTTGAGGAGAGACAGGGAGAGACGGGGGGTGGGGGGGACGATAGTGGATGAATATTAGCCTCCCATCTTGAACCCCCTAGGGAATAGCAATATACATACCTTCTGAAACCTTCCACAGACCATGCATTCCCAAACCTCCTACAGACCATACCTTCTCGAACCGCTCCGGAATAATTTTGAGCTCGCCGGTCCGTGCTGCTTCCAGCGCTGGCTCTGCCAGTGGCTGCATACGCACAAACCACTGCCGGCTCACCAGCGGCTCCACCACCTGTTTGAAACGCAAACAATGGGAGGGGTTAGACAGGGAAGTGCAAGTGTGTGTGTGCGTTAGGGAGGCAGGATGCTGCCCGTGGCTGGCTGGCTGCATGCGCACGAACCAGTGGCTAACAGCAGAGGGGCAGAGGGGCAGAGGTGCTGGAATGGAAGTAGCTGGCTGCGTGTGCACAAGTCACTGCTCAACCATCAGTGGTAGCTCCTTCTGAATAAAATGCAGGCAAGTGAGTGGGGAAGAAGGAGGTGGAGGAAATAGCCAAGTCGATTGTGGGAGAACTGACGACAAAGTTTTGTCGACCAAACCACCAACAGCCCGCCCTGCCCCCCCCAAAGCCCACTCCACTTTCCTCGTCACAAGCTACCTGTCCTCGTTACAAGCATACCTCGCCTCCTCTTTGGGAGCGTGGCACCCGCTGCACATGTGGCTGCTGCTTGATCGCCAGACCTTCCTTCTCCAGCTGCTCCCACACCTGCTTCCGAGCCTCAAACCGATCCAAACCACTGCAGAGAGGAAGAGGACGGAGAGAGTGGAGGAGAGGGAGAAATGCATTGCTGGTGAGGGACGGGGTAGGAAGGAGCAGAGAGGAGATGGGGGGATGGAAATGGGCATCAAGTGTACTCACTCAACAAGAGTAGTGATGGTGTGTTTCAAGTTTTTCATGGCATACTTCTTGTGATGGGCATACGCGCGCACGCTCGAGTGTCTTCCCACCTCGCATAGCTGGCATTACTAGAACGCCCCTGCGTTTTCGTTGAGTGTGGCATCCTTGTTGAGAATGTAAATCATGGGCAGGTCCTGCCGCTTCCCGATGGCAAGTGCGGGTATGCTTGTAACTGATGAACAACAAACTGATTTCCCACCTGAAGAACAAAACCCTTACCAGAAGGCCCCTGCGTTTTCATTGAGTGTGGCATCCTTGTTGAGAATGTTGATAATAGGCAGGTCCCGGCGCTGCCCGATGGCATAGTCGTTGATGTCGTGCCCGGGCGTTATCTTGAGGCACCCCGTGCCAAACTCCATGTCCACGTACTGGGGCAGTAGGGGGGAGAGGGAGAGGGGCAGGGAGAGGGGTACAGGGGAACAGGGGAATGACGGGATGATTGTGCAATGGAACGGAGTCATGGTATTATCGTTGATGGCGTGGCCAGGGGTGATCCTGAGGCACCCTGTGTCCACGTACTGGGGGAGCAGTGGGGCCAAGGGACTGGGAAAGAAGTTACGGGAAAATCAGCCCAGCCAGCAAGTCACTCACGTCAACTGCAAAGGACTGGAATCGGCCTGCCCCTGTACAAGGGCACCAGAGCCTGCTGCCCCTCGTACTAATTTTGAGGCACCTCAATAATCGTCACAGCAAGTCACTCACGTCATCGGCAATAATGGGAATCGTCCCGCCGTCACCCAAGGACACCACAGCCTGCCGGCCCGCGTACTCTTTATGAGGCGCCACAAAGATTGCCACATCAACCCACTCACTCACATCATCGGCAATGATGGGAATCGTCCTGCCGCCGCACAAGGGCACCACGGCCTGCCGCCCCACACACTATGTTTGCGGCGCCTCAAAAATCGTCACAGAAAGTCACTCACATCATCGTCACATAAACCCACTCACATCATCGTCACATAAACCCACTCACATCATCGTCACATAAACCCACTCACATCATCGTCACATAAACCCACTCACATCATCGTCACATAAACCCACTCACATCATCGTCACATAAACCCACTCACATCATCGTCACATAAACCCACTCACATCATCGTCACATAAACCCACTCACATCATCGGCAATGATGGGAATGGTCCTGCCGCCACACAAGGGCACCACGGCCTGCTTTCCCACAAACTTCTTGAAGCGCTCGTCCTCTGGGTGCACAGCCACTGCCGTGTCTCCCAGAATGGTCTCTGGGCGTGTGGTGGCCACCGGTAGATAGTCGTCCCTGGTGGGGAAAGGAGTAGGGGACATACAGGGAGAGAAGAGATGGGGAGACATAGGGGAGAAAAAGGGACAGTGAAAGAGGGGGTGTGAGCCTGACCCCACGTACTGCTTGAAGTAGGGATGAGCAAGATGGCGAACACCTGTTCGGTTCGCCTCGAACATGTTCGAGGCGAACCGAACAGGTGTTTTTTTTTTGCCTAAAATGTTCGGGCCGAACATGTTCGGTGTTCGGCCGAACATGTTCGCCGTTCGCCCCCGAGTCGCGTTACCCCCAAGCCGAACACGAACATGTTCGCGTTCGACTTTGGGGCTACGCGAACACCAAAATAGTTCGCGTCAAAATTGGCCGCGACCAATTTTAGGTCGCGGCCAATTTGTGTTTGAGCTCATTTCGTGAGCTCAAACTCAAAACTCGTTCTCACCTTAGCCCTCTCTCACACAGCCGCCCTAGCCTTTCGTTTAAGGTAACAGTGCACGCCGTAACTTCCAATCTACACGGAAATTAGATCTAGGACTAGGGTTTACTGTCGTGAAGCGTGTTTAGGGTTACTTGGGGCGTTCAGTGGCATCATAGCATAGGGATCAAGTAGGGCGTTCGCTACGCCGAAGGGTTCTAATCGGGCATTTCAAAAACTTTACCCTGCTGGAAAACGCTTAGGATCGTGCGGCACGAGGGACGGTACCATAGGATCTTCGAGGGTTTCGGGTTTTAGGGTCGAGGGCGGAGTGATGGCTTCCAGCCATGGTGGATCCATAGGCCGAGGTGCAGGCAGGGCTCAGGGCAGCGCACCACGACCTATGGAGGGGCGAGTAGGGGATGGACCTGGAGGAGCCGGCGCGTGCTTCGTTGGGGGGTTGCTTACCGTTGCTCTTTCCGTTACGACGGCGCTCGGCCCCCTCCTGCAGGGCAGACGCAGACGGAGAGTGGCAGTGAGGAGGAGGATGAGGAGGAGGATGGTGAGGGTGAGAACGAAGAGGACAATGAGGGGAGCGTGGATGACAGTGAGGCCGAGTGGGACCCAAAGACGCATGGCGGTGGAGAGAGGGGATATGATGATGATGAAGACCACGAGATGGATGGGTTGGAGCCAGAGGGGCGGGAGGAGGAGGTGGGAGAGGGTGGTGGAAGGGCGGCGACAGAGGCGGGATCACAGCATGTGCGTGAAGGGGGAGGGAGCGTGGGGGTTAAGGTGGGGGGGAGAAAGGCCGCTACCATTCGGGAGCCGAGGCTGAGGAAGAGGGCGAACAAGTTGAGGGAGCGGGCGTATCCCTGCACGTTCACTGGGGAGCCCTTGGGCGAGGGTGTGATCGCTCCGGAGTTCCTAGACGACGACGGAGGGTCCGAGAGTAGTAAGGGGACTGGCAAGGGTGTTAGGAAGCCCTCGGTGGCAAGTAATGATGTTCGGACCGTTAGGGGCAGACGAGAAGCGACAGTGCAAGATTTGCGTAGACAAGATTTCGTGGAAGCAATCCACAACAACACCCGGCGAGCGGCATTTCGCGAGCTACCACACTGTGCACATGCAGGTGTGGCATCACCGTTACCACAACCCGTCCGTTCAGTTGCCAGGGGAGACGTTTCCCCGTGGGGGCTACAAGGGAGTGCCGGATGGCTACGTCTATCAGTGGCCACATGCCAAGACTTGGCCGCATCTCGCCAAGGAGAAGGGGAAGGCGTCTGGTGGAGGAGGTCAGGGGTCAGGCGGGATCGAGCGGTTCATGACAACCAAACTGACCTCGGTGCAGCTACGGCAGGCGATCACGAAGCTGGTGGTCACCTGCGACCTCCCCTTCCGCATCGTCGAGGCCGAGGCTGTGAGTGCCCCATCCCATCCCATGCTTGGTTGGGCTTTATGTGGTGGATAGTGGTCGGGTATGGCCCTTTGTGTTTTGATTATTACCGTGTGGCCCAGTGCCATGTTATGTCTAACCCATCCCCCCGACGTTTACTCCCCTCTCCCTCGTTGTCTCTACCCCTCTCCAGTTTCGGGAGCTTTTGATCCTGCTAAACCGCAACTGCGCGCAGAAGAACTTCATCCCCTCGCGCTGGACGGTTGTCCGCGACACTGTGGTCTATGCGGCTGCCGCTCTTCAGTCAGCCGTTGCGGAGATGCTGGCGAAGGAGGGGGAGTTGGGGTGCAGGGTGTCGTACACCATCGACATGTGGACGGCGCCCAACAACAGGGCGTGGCTGGTGGTAACTGGTCACTGGGTAGACGAGAACTTCCAGCTGCGCACAATGGTGTTTGAGTTCCGCGAGATTCACGGGAGGCACACGGGCAAGGTGATGGCGAGGGTGGTTGAGGAGACGGTGGTGCAGTGGGGGTTGGAGACGCGTTGTCTTGGTTTCACCTCAGACAACGCCTCTAGCAACACTGCCGCTTTTAGGTGGATGTCGGAGGAGGGTGGTGACCAGTGCTTCTTCAACTCGCGCATGCACTTCCGGTAAGAAGGGGAGTGTGCGTGGGGTGGTGGTTGAGGGAGTGCAGCTGCGTCGTTGTACGGGCGTGTGGGCCAGTGCGGTTTGAGTGGTAGGGTGTGTCGGGTCTATGCCAATATGTACTGACACTCCCCTTTCTCTCCACCATTAATGTTGTGTGATGTGCTCAGGTGCTTGGCACACGTGATCAACCTTGCTGTGAAGGCAGCCCTCGCTGTGAGCACCATCCGCAAGTTGTTGAAGATTCTAAGGGAGATGGCGTCGTGGATAGGCTTCTCGCCGCAGCGCTCTGGGAAGTTCTTGGGCCTTCAGCGGACCCTGAACGCGCAGGCCAACCCCCCCAAACCGAAGCCGGCATTGAAGCTGGTGCAGGACAGCCCAACGCGCTGGGGGTCGACCCACGACATGGTCGAGCGAGCTGGGGTTCTGCAGGAACCCATCTCTGTCTTCTTTGCCCAGACACAGGTGAGAGGGTGTGTGACAGGTGTTGTGTATGTGGTGTAGTGTGTGGGTATGTCGGGGTGTTTTGTTCTAGCACATGCACCACTGCTGGCCATGCTTGACCAAACATGTTCGAACCCTAAACCTCAACCTAGATGCTACTTTCCATCTTAACACCCGCCAATCCATACCCTCTACCCGACAGGGCTTGTCGAAGGCTGACAGGGCGAAGGTGGAGACCCTGCGCTTGACGGACGCAGACTGGGAGACTCTGCATGCTGTCAAGACGTTCCTCAGCCCATTCGCCAAAGTGTCAAAGGCGGCGGAGGGAGCGGCGTACCCCACAGTGTCGATGGTGCTGCCGTACTACAACGGCCTGATCGACGCTATGGAGTCGCGCCTAGCCAAGGGGCCATCGGCTACGCTGAAGCCGATGATTGAGGCGGCGCTGGGTCTCTTGAAGAAGTATGAACTGATGTCGAGCAACGAGTTGTGGATCGCGACCTTCCTGGACCCTTCCATGAAGGCGGCGTGGTTCGACGACCCGCACTGGGAGACGCTGCATCCCGAGACCGACCGGAGGGCGAGGCCTCGTCCCTCGTCAGGCGAGGTGATCCAGCTGGTACGCGACCGCGTGACCGAGTACCAGGCCCGGGCTGCAGCGCTTGCACCTCGGCCGACCCCACTTGCCCCAGTGACGGAGGAGGAGGGGGGGGAGGCGGCGGATGACGACGAAGACGCGCAGTTTCTCCCTAGTCGCCGACGACTTGCGGCGCGTCTGTCAGCGAGCCAGGAGGCGGGGAGGGGTGGGATGGTGCAGGATGACGAGGTTAGCAGGTACTTATCTAAGAGGGTGCGGTGCGACGTATCAGCGTTGGAGTATTGGCGCAACGCCACCAACATGCAGACGCTGAGGCGCATGGCCCGGGATTATCTCGCCATCCCTGCCACGTCCGCGTCGAGCGAGCGCGTGTTCTCCCTCGGCCGCAACCTCATTTCCTCGAAGCGGCACCGCCTAGCCTCTCAGAGGACGCGAGCTGCCATGATTCTCAGATCATGGTACACCTCACACCCCGGACAGAGGATAGGCGAGGGCCGCCGTGCTAAAGGCGTCGCACCACCAGAGTTCGCCATTGAAGGCGAGGGGGAGGAGGAGGAAGACGAGGAGGAGGAGGAGGGGGAGGAGGAGGGGGCGGAGGAGCATGAGGGGGTGGGTGATGGCGACACCACTGACGCGGAGGAGCATGGTGTTGTTGGTAGTAGCAGTGGAGTTCAGGCGTAGGATTTGATTTGACAGTGACTTATATATTCTCAGAACAAGATGCTGTCGTATGCTTGTGTGCGTTGCATGAACACAGATACACCCTCCACAACCCCCCATCTATCTTCCCGACCCTCCAGATCCCCTGTTTGACCATTGTGACTATAACGAAATTGCCCCTGGGCGAACTCGAACATGTTCATCTCGAACATGTTCGAGTTCGCCCACACACCCTACATGTTCGCCCCCTTAGGCGAACGGCGAACACCACCTGTAAGGTAAATAGTTCGCCGAACCGAACCCTGTTCGGTTCGGAATATGCATATGTTCGAGAGGGGGCGAACCCGAACGTGTTCGAGTTCGCCCTTTGCTCATCCCTAGCTTGAAGCGCTCGTCCTCTGGGTGCACGGCAAGCCACTGCTGTGTCGCCCAGAATGGTCTCTGGGCGAGTGGTGGCTACTGGTAGATAGTCGTCCCTGGTGTGGGGGAGGAAGGGGAAACGGGGGGTGGGTGGTTATGTGGGGAAAAGGGAGGGGACGCGGAAGAGGGGAGGTGAAGGTGGTGGGGTTGGGTTGAAGTTTGACGAGGGGGAAAGGAGGAGAAGTTGGGCGGTGGCAGAGATTGCGCATCCTCCATGTGCAATGTGTAGGAGATTTCCCGCACTGCTTACATCTACTGTGTCGTGTGGGAGGTATGGGACAGTATTGCATGAAAGGACCGGGCTGGGTCGAATCGAAAACACCCCAGACGGTATGTGACTTACTCTGTGCCTCCAGCGATGGGGTATTTGAAGAAGTAGAGCGTGCCTGGCTCCTCTGAATACTCCACCTCCTGATTTGCAACATAAGCATAGTGGATGTTGGGGGAGAGGGACGGATAGAAAGGGATGGATTGGGAAAGAATGAGGAAGAGGAAACGAAGGGCCAGGCCGAACAGGGGGGAGAAGTGGAGAGGAAAGAAGGAGGAGAGGGGGGATTGAAGGATGGAGGATGAAGATATAGAAAGAGACCACGAAAACGACGGAAGCCATAGGGTGTGTATACCAAGAAAATACACTGGATGGGAGGGTCTGACAAGGAGGCTTCTCGTACTATCAATTGCCCTGTTCACGCTCACCAGATCTGACACAGCAGTCTGCAGGAAGGGTGACCAGTTGACCATGTACGTGCCTGGTGGGGGGTGAGTGGGGGTGAGTGAGAGGTGATTGGGTCAACTGGGGGCGAGGTGATTAGTTGGGGGGGCGATGAAGAAACGATGGGATGCAGCTGTGGAGGAAAAAGAAGTCAAGCTTGCAATGCAAGCAGTACTCTGCTCACAAAACACTGCTAAGAAGAAGAACGAGGTGACTTTTGAGTCGACTCAAAATTCACCTTGAGTCGACTCAAAAGTCACCTTGAGTCGACTCAAAAGTCACCTCAAAAGTCACCTTGAGTCGACTCAAACTTACCTCAGAAGTCACCTTGAGTCGACTCAAAAGTCACCTCAAAAGTCCTCAAAAGTCACCTTGAGTCGACTCATAAGTCACCTCAAATGTCACCTTGAGCCGACTCAAAAGAAGTCAAGCTTGCAGGCAGTACTACTCTCACATAACACTGCTAAGAAAAGAAGAAGAACGCAGGAGGAAACATCGGCGTGTTCCCTAGGCGACTAAGCAGGAATGTGAGTGAGGAGGAGTTAGGGGTACGAGACCAACCGCGGTAGATGAGCCCCTTGTTGTGCAGGCGGACAAATGCCTCCACCACAGCCTCTGGAGGGAGATGAGAGAGAAGAATGTGGGACGGGGACATATGGGATGAGCAGCCACAAATTAGAGACCGTGAGAGCGCGAAAAAAGAGGATGATGGGGCGAATGGGATGCGAAGGTAGCATGGCAGCTTGAGAAGAGGGCACAATGAGTGTTTGATCGCCTTTGATGGACGGACGGATGGGCTGATAAGGAAAGAGAGAGTGATCTTATGACAGTGGGGAGGCACGATCGGGAAAGACGGTGGGGATGGAGCGGTGATAGTGGGTTGGGAAGGTGGGGATGGGGGGGATGGTGAGAAAATAAATGGTGGGGATGGTGGGGATGGTGGGAAGAAATTGTGGGGATGGGGGGGATGGGGGAGATTGTGGGGATGGTGGTAAGAAATTGTGGGGATGGGGGAGATGGTGAAGAAGGAGGGCGGGGATGGTGGGAGCAGTGCAGTGGGATGCCTTACTGCTGAGTTGATCATCCAGAGTGAATCTCTCTCTCGACCAATCACAGGAGGCGCCGAGCCTGCGGATCTGCTTTCCAATTGTGCCACCATATCTGCCAATGCCACACCATTCCGAACCACATAAGCACACAGGTACAGAGTAGTGCTATTTATAGTAATTTGTACTTTCATGTGCACGTCAACCATGACAAATAAAAGAAACCTTTGCAGTGCACATTGTATCCTTCCACTCCCACACTCACTTCTCTTTCCACTCCCACACTCACTTCTCTTTCCACTCCCACACTCACTTCTCTTTCCACTCCCACACTCACTTCTCCTTCCACTCCCACACTCACTTCTCCTTCCACTCCCACACTCACTTCTCCTTCCACTCCCACACTCACTTCTCCTTCCACTCCCACACTCACTTCTCCTTCCACTCCCACACTCACTTCTCCTTCCACTCCCACACTCACTTCTCCTTCCACTCCCACACTCACTTCTCCTTCCACTCCCACACTCACTTCTCCTTCCACTCCCACACTCACTTCTCCTTCCACTCCCACACTCACTTCTCCTTCCACTCCCACACTCACTTCTCCTTCCACTCCCACACTCACTTCTCCTTCCACTCCCACACTCACTTCTCCTTCCACTCCCACACTCACTTCTCCTTCCACTCCCACACTCACTTCTCCTTCCACTCCCACACTCACTTCTCCTTCCACTCCCACACTCACTTCTCCTTCCACTCCCACACTCACTTCTCCTTCCACTCCCACACTCACTTCTCCTTCCACTCCCACACTCACTTCTCCTTCCACTCCCACACTCACTTCTCCTTCCACTCCCACACTCACTTCTCCTTCCACTCCCACACTCACTTCTCCTTCCACTCCCACACTCACTTCTCCTTCCACTCCCACACTCACTTCTCCTTCCACTCCCACACTCACTTCTCCTTCCACTCCCACACTCACTTCTCCTTCCACTCCCACACTCACTTCTCCTTCCACTCCCACACTCACTTCTCCTTCCACTCCCACACTCACTTCTCCTTCCACTCCCACACTCACTTCTCCTTCCACTCCCACACTCACTTCTCCTTCCACTCCCACACTCACTTCTCCTTCCACTCCCACACGCGCTTCACAAACTCTTCTCGGCCCAGCTCCTGCCGGCTAATCCCCTCAGACGCAAGCATCTTCTCTACCACCAGCTGTGGGGGGCGAAGGGAGGGACATACAGAGAAAGGGAGTATGATTGCACCGTGACTATGCGAGTTGAACAAAGGATTCGTTTCTGCCATACCAACCAATGGAGATTCAAGGTCAACACACTCGCTTGGGCGTGCAGCACACCTAAACGACATTCCCCCACATGCTCCAGAGGCTAGGTGGTTTTTTCACAGATTCAAGATCACTAGCTTGGACGAGCAACACACCTGAGTGGCGATGCCTGCATGGTCCGTGCCTGGCAGCCAGAGGGTGGGACGCCCCTTCATGCGCCAGAACCGAGTCATAATGTCCTGATGCAGAACAGAGTGGTGGGAAGAGGTCGGGCGGGCGGAGGGAACACAAAGCAAAAAGGTCGGGTGGTCTCTCTCTCCCGTGGAGCAGCAGGACTTAGTTAATGATTGATTGGCAGTTACATGCTTAGAGTTGCTGATTGACAAAGCAGCGCTGATGGGGATGCTGCCATGCTTCTGCTGTGGTGTGAACTGCTTGTTATTTAGGCACCTCACACGACATGCTTGTGATGATGAGGAATGATTGTTTCTCTGGATAACCCATTGCCCACCTCGAGAGTGACGAACATGGCATGGCCCATGTGCAGAGCGCCAGTGACGTTGGGAGGGGGCATGGAGATGACAAACGGAGCAGTATGGCTGTCAGCCTTATCCCCGCCGTCACTACCAGCGGCAGCAGCGCCTGATTGCAGAGCAGACTCGTCTGGCTTGAAGTACCCGCTGCCCTCCCACCTGCCAGCACCAACCAGGTACAGACAGCAGGACATACAAGGGGGAAACAGTGGACGGATTGTGGACGTCGAATTGTGTGGACCTCACTGCGGCACGTTTGGTTCCCCTTCAACTTCATCTCTCCGTTGACCAGGTGGAAATCTTCTCGTCCTAGCCAAATATCCTCTAATCACAATCATCCACTGTCTAGCCGTATATCCTTGCGGCCGACCGTCACCTGAGTAGATTACACATGCTCTCACCTAATCTCAACCGTCCATCCACTGACCAAGCACAGGTCCACTACTCTCAGTCGTCCATTGACCAGGAAAGAAAGGAACAAATTCTCTCATAAGCCATCTACTGGCCAAACCCGTTCCACTGACCAGGCATAGATTTTCTCCTCTGCAGAGAAGTCAAAGGCCTTAGGAAGGACGGAGGGAAACACGTCCTCTCCTGCAGGTCCGTCATTGCTCACCAGAGAAGCAAGCGTTCTTGCTGTTTCAGTGGAGGAAAAAGTGTGGGAGAAGTGGAAGTGGGAATGCACCGTGAGACGAAGTAACAAAACATCCGAGGTGAATTGAATGGAAAGGAGCGACATTATAATGGATTTCTCCTGCTCCTAGACAGCATTCTATCTCATCTGATAACGGATTGCAGCACCTGGGCCATACTGGTGACATTGACTCTTGATCGCAATTTTCTTTCTTCCCACTGTGAAGATTTTCACTATTGTCGAAACCGTTCATCTAAGCTCGCGCATTAACCTCGCGACAAATGCGCCATCCGCTAGATTTCGTTTTCATGCCGACATGCAGACACTATCGACCTCGTCCCTCTCATTCCAACCTGGTCTAACGCCGAAATGCACGGAGCACGGCTTCGCGTGGCGTGAGCCGAGCAACGGTCGAGACACGAGAGAGCTCAGCGAATTCGACGACGCTCCCAGCCAGATGCTCCTTCCAACGCTGCTAAATCGGCAAGAAATCAGCGATACGTCAGAGTTTAGCGCTGGTGATCTGACGCATTGGGAGCTGACACCGTGACAGATGTGTCGCACCATCCCGGAATGAGTGGAGCACGAAGGGGTGGCCGTTCGGGTGGCGGAAGTGGGAGAAATTGAGGGACTAAGTTTCCTGAGAGCGGACGAGGTTACGGTGGAGCGGGAGGTTGTAAGGGCTACGTGCGAGCATAACGAGGCTGCATTTCCGCGAATGGTTGAGGTAGCCGGCCTCATTGCACCCCACCCACAGCGAGTCCTTGAAGCTAGCTGCGAGCGAAGGAACTTTACGGGCTGACGCAGACGAGCAACCTGAAGTTCTCAAGGATCTCAGCAAGCGTAGTGCAGGTTTGAAAACGTAATTATCGCTGGGGGAAGTGAATCAATCTGATCAATCTGTATTGCCTGAAGGCAGTGGAGTGAAGTGTTTGATTGCCAGGTTTGCAAGTACTTCCCAGGCTTGGAGATCGGTACTAGCAAGTTCAGCAACTAAATCCCGGGAGGTGTGCCTGACTGAAGCAGAAAGAAAGCGGACAGGTAGATTGGTGGTCGAGGTGGTGGATGATGCCCCCCCAGCAATCCCAAGGTGACATGTGTACAGAATTTAGACCCGGGGGAAGGGACACGTGGTGGATGACGTGTCGAAGCTCATTTGCAGGTTTCAAATCAAGTGATTTGAACTACGGCAGCTTGTAGACATGTTCTTTATCATTTGCCCCAATCCATGTAAATATTATCAAGGTCTCTATAAACGGGTATTGCCGTAAAAGTGCTGCTTCTTTCTACACGGCCTGCGGCCTATACCTAATCTTCTTTGAGCCGTCTCGACTTTCCACATCCGTCCAGCTTGCACCTTCTTGGTGTCACCTGTCCACGACATGGCGACCGACGAGTTAGGAGAATTTTACGTCAGATACTACGTCGGTCATAAGGGCAAATTTGGCCATGAGTTTCTCGAGTTTGAGTTTAGACCAGATGGGAAGCTGCGATACGCGAATAACTCGAACTACAAGAAGGACACCATGATCCGAAAAGAGGTGTTTGTGTCGGAAGCGGTCATGAGGGAGTGCAAACGGATCATCGCGGAGAGCGAGGTACGCTTTAGCTTCCCGCGTTTCCTGCATCTCGCTCCGACGGAGCACTATAGAGTAGCCTTCGCGTTTAGCATTCGCCTTATTGATTCGCCGTTCGCCTTTGCGGCCGAGGGTGCAGGTGACCAAGGAAGATGACAGTAACTGGCCAGAGCCGGACAGAGTGGGTCGACAGGAGCTGGAGATTGTCATGGGGAATGAGCACGTCTCGTTTCTCACTTCCAAGATTGGATCCCTGATTGACGTTCAGAGCAGCAAGGACCCAGAGGGCCTTCGGGTTTTCTACTATTTGGTGCAGGTACGCTCTTTGAAGCCCAAATTGTAGTTTCGTGCTGTGTTTGGTTGCTGTGCTTTCGTTATCAGAGCTGCAGTGTGTTCCGTTCTGTTTTCCTCCGCTCACTCCCCTGTCTCCTCTTCTGGTTTTCTGTGGCATCTTAGGATCTGAAGTGTCTAGTTTTCTCGTTAATAGGTCTTCATTTCAAGATCAAGCCAATTTAGCTGTAAGGTCAGTTTTTTGGTAGTACGACCATGTTCGTCGTGATCTAGGTTGTTTTGCTCTCATTTTTTTTTTCATAGTGGAGTGTTAAGATCTTTATTTTGCTGCTCGGGTGGCCATCAGCCTTCGCTCGTTCCCTGTTCTTTGTGCCCCTTCATCCTACAGGCATTTCATAATCAGTCGTTATTTCCTTGATGCTAAGCTGGTCTTTGTGGGCCTAACATCTCTACTAGCAGAACTCAGTCCTGCGCTGGGACTACACTAAACACCATTGTCATTACCAGGGAAAGCAGCCCTGAACCTGTGTTGCTGTGTCGTCCTGGCCAACTAGGTACGGTAGTTTTTTTCCTCGATCCATTTCCTAAGGACGTGGACCCTCCCATAGATTACGACGATCGATCGTGCAAAATCGATCCGCCGCCGCACTGAAAACCTGCTAAAGCTTTCTTGACCTTAAAACCCGTCTAAATACGATCCTGCGTAGGTTCGATCTCTGAAATCGTTGCTGGTATCCACATCCTAGGGCCAAGTGAATGGGGAATTTGGCAATCCTGAAATATATGGCTGCGGAAAGTGCCTGTACAACGCTACTCGTACCCAGTTTATTGTTTGTCTCCTTGCACAAATGCAAAAATATAGCTTCACTGGACATTGGTCTGCTTGTGTAACATGAGATCGTTTGATGTTGGAAATTTTGTTTATACGAAATTATTGTAATTGTGCTGACGTTGTAACGATACTGCTCGCTCCCTATGGTGGAGCTTTTCCTGACCTAACCTGTGATCCTTTTCCCGCCCGACAAGAAGGGCTGCCTGTTTTCTTTTGACACCAGCCACGGCATGGAAGTGTGTTATGGTCCGTGTCACAACGGGGTTCCTGCAAAAATTCCCGTGTTGCCCGGATCGTATTGGACGTGGCAGTCCTTGATACGGTACCCATGTGGTGCGTGAAGCTCTGGAAGTTGTCGGAATGTGGCGCTTTGCATTTTTCCCGCGTGATTCGTATGTTCTTCGAGTACAGCAGAGGTAACCTGTCCAATGAAAACACTTCTGCTAGCTGCGAGTAGTTCTATCCTCTCGCCTTACTTCGCAGCCAAAGAGAGAGGGTCCTTGCTCGCGGGAGATCGGTTCAGCATGCGAAGATACCGTGGCCACATCATTTTGTTACACGAGGCTGTTGCGACTCGGCCTGATTGGGAGGGCAAGGAGTTGAGGGCGAGAGTTTTGCTCAATCCCCCGGAATCGATGTTCGTTTTATTTTCGCCACGTGGCATGCCTTCGATCGCGAGAACCGCGATCTGTTTTATTGTTCCCACATTTTTTTAAGAGAAATATAGTAAAGCTTAGTGAGTCACTTGTACTGCCCTGCCCGCGGGCAAAAATAAAACCCCTATAGGAAAAACATGCGTAACCCTAAACACCTAGAGGCAAGGTGTTTAGGGTTGATGCCTCCCTAACACATGCCATGCCCACATGGGTTTTATTTTTGCCTGCGGGCAGCGCGGTACAGAACTTAACTAAATCTCTCTTGAACTTTGTGGTAACAATAAAACAGATGGCGGTTCCCGCGATCGAAGGCTTGCCACGTGGCGAAAATAAAACAAACCACGCTTCCGAGGATTTAAGCAAAATTCTCGTTGAGGGCGCAAGACTGATTCGAAAGTACTGTATGCGCGTTGCGGATGGCCCCCCGCCAACACAGAAGCGTCGCCAATAGCTGACATTTGGACGCGCGGGAGACGCAAAAACTTCGCCATCGTGTTTGGCAGGGAGGGAAGGTCGGGGAGGGGCTTGCGACAGGTATCAAACACGTTCCAACGAGTGAGTGCGACGTGACGACGTGAACGAGGGGTCCATTTGTGTCAATGGGGGCTGATGGGCGACCTCTCTATCGAACCGACAGTTGGCGCATGCCGTCGCAGCCCATCAGACCCCATCGTACCCCTCCCCTTCTGCCTAATGATGCAAACAAGGAGGGCGACGAGGCGACCAAGCGACGACGCGCATGGTGGCTGACGAGGTATTTGAGACGAGCGATCTGCGGAGAGATGCAAGGCCTGAACGTAAATCGGGTTCGTCAATTGTGAGCGCCGCTCATCACCAACCATCCATCGCCGATTCATCCTTGATTTCGATTTCTCCCACACCAGTGAGCACACACCAGAGCCGCCGTTTCCCTCCATCCAACACCAGCACTGCACCAATCTCTCCTCCACAGGCTGGCTCTCTCCCTCCCTCTCTTCCAATCTCTCCTCCCATCTCATCTCCCTCTCCCCCCACCTCCTCCTCTCCCTCTCTTTCCCTCGCTCTCTTTCCTTGTCTTGGCTCGGCATTCCTGGTCCATCCTGCCTCTTCCCGCCATCGACATTGTCGGAGGGCGCATTAGCAGCAGAGCGCTCTGAACGGCTTCACCGCAGTAGTACTTGTTTCGAACAGCATCATTTGTACATTTCAATGCTCCTGGCCGTTGTTGTTGCTTGTTCTCTATCCGAATCTTTCCTCGAACGTAACGGATCCTAACACTAGTTGAGCGTCAAGCGTCGTATACCCTCCTTCGGGCTCCGTATATGTGCAGCTGCTTTAGCGGATTCGAACCGTCGTGAGTTTCTTGTGACTCGACGTGGTTTTTCTCCCTTGGCATAGTGCTTTTCTTGTGAATTGGAAGCCATGGGTAAAGGAGGATCCTTCGCCTTGCCGGATCAGCTTCAGGAAGTCAGCGCTTTCAAGACGCTAGAAATAGACCCTGACAATCTCTGCGAGAGGCCGAGAATCCTCGATGTCCTCGCTACAATCTTGGAGCGGATCATGGCTGCTAACGAAGCGAGCAGTCAGTGCGCGAATCAGAAGCTGACCGTGTTTCACGGCCTACAAGCACCAGGCATCGGCCTTGACAAGTACCTGGATAGGATCTTCAAGTACGCAAACTGCAGCTACTCGTGCTTCGTGGTGGCGTATATTTATGTCGACCGGATGATCGAGCGACAGCCGGACATGCTCCTGACGAACCTGAACATCCATCGGCTGCTCGTCACCAGCGTCATGGTCGCCACCAAGTTCTTTGATGACGCGTGAGTAACCCTTTTTTTTTCGCATGAACAACAGCTGTTTTTTTCATACTGATGTAACAACATTTAGTGTGGCTTCTAAAGTGTCGGTGAATGGATCCGTACTGAATCGCAACAGTCAGCGAGATTCACAACCGGTTCATTAACTAAACCAGCACTATTTGGATCTTCCATTCTTCTCCCGTAACAGATATTTCAACAACGCGTATTACGCCAAGGTCGGCGGCGTCACGACGGGCGAAATGAACCGGCTGGAGCTGGAGTTTCTCTTTCGCATCGACTTTCGCCTTAACATCACGTCGGACGATTTCGCGAGCTACTGCAAGCTTCTGGAAGGCGAGCTATGGCGGATGCAGTACCCTATGGACGATTTTCTCCCGTCGCTCCCCGCGTTCGAAGCAGCCGAGTCAGATTCCGAGGAATCTGCAACATCTGACGTCATAGATCCGGCGGCTGAGCTTCTAGGGTCGGAAGGTTCGGCGTCCGAACCTGCAGATTCGGACTCGGAAGGATCTGTGTCTGATGTTGCCGAGGCTTCGGATTCTGACCTCACAGCGTCGTCCGACGTGGCGGATAAGAATGTCTGTTGTAAGCGGCAAAAGCATTGCGTGGATGGAGAGTCGCCGGAGGAGCATTCAGATGTGCAAACGGCGCATAGAACTCGGTGCTGTACGGTTTTGGAGTGAGCAAGCAGCGACGGTGCTTCAGTCGACGGTGATTCGGGCGATTGTGCCTTCGGTTATCGCAGTCATTCACGCAGCTGAGCCGTCTGGTTTTCCACATCATGGCGGGCCAAGCAGGCACAGAATATCCTCCTTACAAACATACGACCGTACCCTAGAAAAGGATGTTCATCGGACATCCTACAGTTTCATTTACGGAGGCACATGCAACCTTCTCGGAGTTACTAACAGCCGCCGACTAACCCCTCCATTCCACCTCCATTTCTGCCCTCCAGCTCCGGATCCTCGGAGGTATCGTCATACCCAGCCACTCCCAGGTGCTGCTAATCCCAGCGGGTCTCTTCTCGTCTCCACCAGTACAAAATCCTCGCCATGATACGCACCACATATCTTGTTTTTCTCCGCGCCTTCATCACCCTTGCGCCCATTTCTTGATCTGTCACCTGCCATGGTCTTAGCCCCTTGGGCCTGGTAGCACCTCACATAATTAGTTTCTTCTTGTTACATGGATTCTGTACAATATTAGGGGGCTGGTCTGCATGTTTGCATCTGTGAACGGTCCTTCTACCGACTTTTTGCTTAGATGTAATAAGGTTGATACCATAATGTGCTTCATTTTTTGTACGGTATCATATGTTTATTACTGTGGTACCATGTTAGCTACATGAATTAAGTGCACCCCAAGTGGACCTGGTGGGCTACAGCCTTGATAGAGACTAGCTTTACTGCTACTTTTGCTCAGTAGAGAAATGTCAGCACAACAAACCACCAAGTTATTCCTCATACAGTTCCCAGATCCCAGCGTAGACATAACTTTGACAGCAGGGCTGGTTGGGAAAGATCTAGACATGGTCATTAGCGATTTCGGGCAGGGTCTGAAAGCTATGGCACACGATGTTCATTCAACACAAGCTCTAGGGTATGCAACCCAAGTACGCCCAGATATTCCCGGGTATGCACGTATCAACCCTACTTTGGTTGAGCGCGCGCGTGCTGAAGCTCCTCTGTCTTCTCCTTGAGGGTCTCTCTCAGCGATTGCACCTGAAACACAGGGAAAGAGTGCTCAGGAAAAACATTGAAGTTATGAGTTCAGAAAGTAAAGCCCTATGATAAACCCTTCTATCAAATGTTTCTTGCGCCAAAATGGAAGCATAGTCTCTTTCTGACAGCCCACCTGTTGCTGCAGCGCTGTTAGTCGGGCCTTTCCCATCTGAACAATATTCTTGGTTGTCATACGTTCTCGTGTCGCCGCCACCCCAGCCTTGTACGCATCTTCAGCCTGCTTCAACTCCTCCCTCACCCTCGCTTCTGCCCCCACTGCTGCTTCTCTTAAAGCCTTGGCTTCCTCCTTTGCGGAGATTAGTGCTGCTGACAGAGACACCACCTCAGCTGCACGCGTGTTTTGCTCTCGGCGCAGCTCCATCCGCGTGGTTGCCAGCTCAGCCTTGATTTTCGGCATCTTCTGCATCATCTCCGCCAGCTGTGCCGCCCGCTCCTGCTGCTGCCGCCCCTCCTCCACCATTCTCTCCTGAGCCTCTGCCAGCTCCTCGGTCAGCTGCTGAAAACTTTCCACGTTGACCGAATCCCGTTCCTTCCGGGCAGCCTCAAGAAGCTCCTCCAGCTCAGCAGCCAGGGCCTCGTTCTCCTCTGCTTCCCGATTGGTCCGGTCCAGCTCAGCTTGGGACGATTCCAGGCTGGCGCGCAGCTCCGCCAGGTAGGATTCTAGCTGCGCCACGCGGGAGGTGAGCTTCTGGGAATCTTCTGCAGAGGATGCCATCTGCTGCTGGTACTGCTGGCGCTCCTGCTGGTACCTGAATAGGTAAGGGAGGTAAGGGAAGGAACGGGAGAGGCTTGTTTCCGAGTATTTGCTTGGAAAACACCCTGCAGTTCAAGGTTGCTGATGCAAGTAGGAAAGATGGTTCGCAAAATCTCAGCAGAAGCACAACAGGGACGTTAACCCAGCAAACGGAACGCAGTAAAGGAAGCATACGGAGCACAGCATTTTCACTCACTGAACTGAACCTCAAGCCCGGAATGAACCTTCAACCTCACATGAACCTCAAACCTGAAATGAACCTTAACCTCAAATGAACCTCTGAGGAGAAGACGACTCACTCTAGGATCGCCGTTGCAAGGCCCTCCTCTGCTGCTGTTGACTGGTTGGGCATGGAGTTGGGAGGTATGGTGCAGTGCAGTGAGATAAGTTAGCGTGCGAGGTGAGATAGTATGGTGCTGTGCGGTGCATAATTCTATGCCGTTCAGAACATCATGTGTTTTGTATGAGTCTTAGTGCCAGACCAATCAGGCCATGGACAGCATCACTTACACTTGTTGTCTCAGAGTCGACAATTTTTTTTTTTTTTTTTTGGAATGTGAGTTGGCTGATATGGTGACTGAATTGACTATTATTATTTTGAAGGACAGAGACCAGAAGAAATAAACAAGAGGAAAACAAAGGCACGTCTTTGAACCAAGTACATGATCTGATTTCAGCCAGCCAAAGCAGCTTACCCTCCTCTCCCTCTCCCCTCCCCCCATCTCTTCCTCTCACCTTCCCCAATCTCTCCCTCTCACCTTCCCCCGCCTCTCCCTCTCACCTTCTCTACCTCGTGTTGTGGCTCCTCTGAACTACTCCCCCCCAATCCTCACCTTCGCCTCCTTCATTCTCTCCTTCTCCGCCTCACTGCGCCTCCTCCTCTGCTCCACCTGACTTTTGAGTCGACTCAAAAATGTATCGTGTGCCATAGTAACGAGGTGACTTTTGAGTCGACTCAAAAATGTATCGTGTGCCATAGTAACGAGGTGACTTTTGAGTCGACTCAAAAATGTATCGTGTGCCATAGTAACGAGGTGACTTTTGAGTCGACTCAAAAGTCACCCAATCCTCACCTTCGCCTCCTTCATTCTCTCCTTCTCCGCCTCACTGCGCCTCCTCCTCTCCTCCACCTGCTTCCTTGCCGCCTCAACCCCAGCCTTCTCCCCGTCCACCCTTGCCAACTCATCCGCAACCCTCCGCCTCTCCTCCTCGATCTCCTTTGCTTCTCTCTCCATCTCCTCCCTCTCTGCCTGCAGCTCCCCCCTCTCCCTTTCCATCCTCGCCTTCTCCTCCTTGAGTGAAGCCTTCAGCTGCCGAATCTCCCGAGTCTTCTTCTGCTCCTCATCCATCACTTGTTCTGCCACCTCTTTCGCCAGCGCCATGCCGCGGCGGAGTTCTGCCGCTTCCTCCTGAGAAGGGAGTTGGCGAGTGGGAGGAAGGTGTGTGGGCAATCACGGTGTCTTCTTCTGCTCCTCATCCATCACTTGTTCTGCAACCTCCTTGGCTAGTGCCATGCCGCGGCGTAACTCCGCTGCTTCCTCCTGTGGGTGGCAAGGGCAATGAGGAATTTAAATGGGAAAAGGTGAGTGGCGCAATCTCCCTCTCTCCCACTCCATCCTTCCTCCTTGAGTGAAGCCTTCAGCTGTCGAATCTCCCGAGTCTTCTTCTGCTCCTCATCCATCACTTGTTCTGCAACCTCCTTGGCTAGTGCCATGCCACGCCGTAACTCCGCTGCTTCCTCCTGAAGAAAGAGTTCGGGAGTGGGAGGGGCGCGGGAGCACAATGGGTTCACGATCACAAGGTTGAAGGATCGACTAAACCTCCCCTTTTTCCCCCCTCTCTCTCTCTACATCCTTGCTTTCTCCCCCTTGAGTAAAGCCTTCTGCTGCCGAATCTCCCGAGTCTTCTTCTGCTCCTCATCCATCTCTTGTTCTGCAACCTCTTTTGCCAGCGCCATGCCACGGCGTAATTCTGCATCTTCCCCCTGTGGGTGGCAAGGGCAAGCGGAGGTTCCAACGGGGAAAGGGGAGGGGCGCACTAGGCGAGGGCTCCTTTCAGCTGCCGAGTCGACTTTTGAGTCGACTCAAAAGTCAACTCGCAGCAGGTGAGGGCTCCTTTCAGCTGCCGAATCTTCCGTGTCTTCTTCTGCTCCTCATCCATCTCTTTTTCTGCAACCTCTTTTGCCAGAACAAGCGGTGGCATGCCTAGGCGTAACTCCGCGTCTTCCTCCTGCTTCCTCCTGCCTCCTCATGCTCCTTTTGTTCCGCATGTATTTCTTTCTCGCTCTCTTCTCGTGCGTCTTCTGCTAGACTGCTGCCTCACCCTCCCACTCACCCACTCTCATGGCGAGTGAGGTTTTGGGTTGGTAAGTTCACTTCTTCCCACTCTCTTACTCACCCACTCTCCGATTCACCAACTCTCCCACCTCTCCCACACACCCATTCTCCCACTCGCACACTCTCCACCCGACCTATGCCCATCACCTCACCAACCCATCCAACCACACCACCCCACCCACTCACTCTCCCACCCACTCACCCTGAGTCGAGCCGTCTCCTCCAACTCTCCGTCGCGTATCAACGCTTGTAGCCCGCGCCCACTCACTCGCTCATTCTCCTTCCTTCCCACTCACCCACCCACCCACCACCCCATTCACTCACCCTCAGTCGAGCCATCTCCTCCACCTGTCCGTCGCCCATCGCCCCGCCCGCCTCCGTGGCCTGCCGCACCGCCGCCACCTCAGCCTCGTGCGCCGCCTCCAGCTCAGCAAGCTTGCGCTCGTACGCGCGTGCCACGTCAGCAACAGCCTGCTCCACCAGCTCGGCGCGCTGTCGCTTCTCCTCCTGCCACGCCTCCTCCAACTGCCTTGCCTTCTCCTCTATCTCCTCCCTCTCCTTCCTCTCACTTTCCTCCTTCTCCTGCTCCTTCTCTCTCTCCTCCCTCTCCGCTTTTGCTGTCTCTGCTGCAGCGATTTCTGCTTTCCGCCTCGCCTCTTCCTCCTCCTCCTCCTCCCTCTTCCTCTTTTCCTCCTCCTCTATCTTCTCCTTTTCCGCTGCCTCCGCACGCACTCTCGCCGCTTCATCCTCCTTCTTCCTCTCCTCTTCCTCCGCCCTCCTCTTCTCCTCTTCTCTCTTCCTCACCTCCTCCTCCTCCTTCCTTTTCAACTCCGCTGCCATTCTCTCCCTCTCCTCCTCCTCCTCTCTCTTCCTCTCTTCCTCTCTCTTCCTCGCCTCCTCCCTCTCCCTTATTTCCATCTCCACAAGCCGCTGCCGAACTGCCTCCTCCTCCTCCACCCGCTCCTCCAGCACCCCTTCCACTGTCGGCACCGTCACCAGCGCCGCAGCCTCCGCGGGAGTCACGGCAACGGCGGAAACGGCAGCAGCGGCAGCGGGAGAAGCAGCAGCAGGAGCAGCAGTAGCAGCAGCAGCGGGAGTCTTGCGGAAAACGTTTCCAACAGCGGAGAAGACGACCCGGAGCAGACCGAATATGAACCTTAAAACGAGGGTGATTGCAGCGAGGGATAGCACGGCGGCGGACCAGAGCAAGGCTAGAGAGAGCTCTTTGGGGATCTTATTCTTAATCGCCCACGCGTCGACTCTCCGCACGACTGGCGCCGACTCCACCGACTTGACGAACTTCTGAGCCATGGCGGCCGCATTTGCCGCCGCGTTTGCCGCCGAGTTGGACACCGTGTTAGCCGCCGCGTTTTGCGCGGGTTTGCTGCTGCTCGCGCCGCCGCTGGTTTTGCTGCCACCGCCGGCGGCCATGCTGACGGAGGTGCCGCGAGAGGCGGCGCGTTTGTCGGCGGAAAGACCGCGGTTTTTTGGTCTCGCATGAAGCTCTTGCTGACGTCGCTGCTCCTGAAGCAGCTTCTCGCAGGGCTGACACGTGTTATCCTGCGCAACGGTTTGACAAAAATCATGCGTGTTATGACGACCTCGTTTGCGTTTCAAAAATAAGTAGTATCTCTAACAGTAAAAAAACAACAAAAGAGAAGGATAACAGGTGCTTCGAAGAAGCAAGCAAATAGCATTAGGGGCACACGTATCTGTACCTGCTGGTTCGTTTAACGTCAGTCCTGGGGTTTCTCAAAACGTGACTGAAGAGAAAAGTCGTTCTCACCGCGCATTGGATGTCAATCAATGAGCACACGCTAACAATACACGTGCGCCGCTCAGATAACATCATGTGCCGGCGATTCGCAACATCATTCGCACGCCGGTGCGAGGCTTCCAGGTGTACCTTAAAGTGTCGCGAATGCTGTCGCGAGAGGCTTCCTTGCCGCCTCACGCTGGGCGAGAACGACGGGCTGGACGGCACGGAGCACAGGCGAACCGGGAGCGACACGGCCGCCATGGCTGACGCGAGCGAGAAACGATAACGAGAAAGAGCGCGGGAAACGTCAGCAATGAGCGACGCGACTTGCGGGTGGTGAAAGCAATAAGGCTTAGACAAAGAAAATAGTAAACTGACTGGTTTGAAGCAGTTTGCCTAGTGCGATGACAGTGATGTGAGGGGCGTAATCTCCTAGAAATCTTCGAGCATGAGAGGAAATGAGATGACAGAGGACCAGAGTGACAACAAGGTTATGGACGTGTTCCGTCGGGATTCAATAGGTTCGAGAAGCAGAACCAAGGATGTTCAGCAAAAGTCTCAAATCATGTGGCTCCTCAAACACCGAACGAAGGCATCCCTGAAGGGAGTTTTTGGCTCTCGGTGCGAATGAAACGTCCCCGTTTTGAAAAGACGTCTCGGTACATCAGTTTTTTGCAGTAGTAATGAAAATGGGCCCTCGGCTCATTGTACTTCCCCCGCTGATGCTGCTTATCTGCCACGTCGGACTGGATCATCAGCGACCCGAAATTGTAGGATGGAAACATCCTCGATATCAACGCACCAGCTTTGCGAAAAGGAAATGTAGACTAAGCCATGTGGCTATGAAAAGGCGGGTTTATATCTGTTACGGATGAATCTCCTTCACGGAAATACAACCGCAGTTTAGAGAGTCGTTTCTGGGGAAGTTCAGCCATTCTCCGATTATTATAATATTCCTTGGTCGCTCCATCTGCGTTATTGTTTTCCCGTTCAAGGACAACGGTCTGCGCATCTCGATATGCTTTGTTTCCCGTCTCGACTCCGAATTCGCGCTTCAACGGAAGGCTAGACATCTGCATTTGTGAAAGATTTTCTCGGTCTTTCGACGGCATCTCGTTTGCCGCATCTCTTCTTCCTCAGACGAACCGCCATCCCTCCTCTTCCCGAACCATGGTGCGCCTATTCCCCTCTTTTTTTTCAAATTCACCCTTTCACTAAACGCTCTCTAGACAACGACAAGTCGTGACCACACGTAGCGACGACCGAGACAGTTTAACCTAGATTCTCACGTACAATGCCGTAACGACACCACATCGTTCCCACTGACCCACCCCACCCCTCCACAGACCTTTTCCCCTCCATCCCCTGCTCCTTCCATGCCCATCTCCCTCCCCCCTCTCCTTATGGTTACCCGATCATCGCCCACGATTCTGTTCCCCTCGCCTCTCTTTCTGGTATCCCGCCCGTCGTCCGCGTTATTCTCTGCCCCGTTTGTGGCAGTCGGGTCCAAAGAAGTAGTGCTGGACCTAGCGAGGCTGGTGGACTCGTTTTTTAGGCGCGTCAAATACAGAATCCCCGTTATGCTCTCCCCGTTATGCTCATACTCTCCCCCGTTACTCGTATGCATGCCCTGCCCCGTTTGCGGCAGTCGGGACGCAAGGAAACAGTGTTGGACCTAGCGAGGCTGGTGGATAAGGGCGTGTGCGTGAAGCTTAACGGGGGCCGACAAGGTGATCATAGGGGACGTGTGCGCGAGTGTCATTATAAGCGGGGTCCGGATGACAGAAGTGACCACCTGGCTGGCTGGCTGGCTGATTAGCCATCAATTTGTTGACCGTATGTCCATGTTTGTTCTTGAAAAAAACCAACGCTCAAGTCCTCCTCTTCTTTTCCAGAGAAGCAACCCCCCTCTCTCACCTCCTCTCAAAGCTTCCCAACTGCGATTATCCCAACTGCCCCCATTTCATGAACACCCTTGGTCAGCCATCCGTTACCTCTCCCACCCCTCCTCAACCTGCCTCCCCCCCTACCCACCCAACCCCCGCCTCCGTTTCCTCTCTTCCCCCAAACGAGTGATGGGCACATTAAAAGGGTACGATCAGTTGATCAACCTAGTGCTGGACGAGGCTTCTCCTTCTCCTCTCCCTCCCTCGCCCACTTTCCCCCACACCGCTTTGCTTTTCTTCCCTCCCACCCCAACCAGTGATGGGCACGTTGAAAGGGTACGACCAGCTGATCAACCTGGTGCTGGATGAAGCTGTGGAGTATGAGCGAGGTAGGGGGAGGGGATGGGGACTGCGGGAAGGGAGAGAGGCGGTGGGGAGGGGAGTGAAGGGCGAGAAGGGCAGTGTTGGCTCATAATTGAAGGGGTTCGAGCAGCTGATTGGATGATGGATGAGGCTGTGGAGTATGAGCGAGGTAGGGGGGGAGTAAGGAGGGCGGAAGGAGGGGACAGGGGAAGGGGGAGAAGGGCGGGTGCGGGAATAGGGGATGTGGCGATTGGTGGGGGAAGGTTGAAGCAAAGGGAGAAGAAAGACAGGGCGAGCGGGGGGGTGTTAGGGTTGTGCAACTGATTGCTAAAGGGATACGACTACGAGCTGATTAGCATGGGTGATGCAGGGGAGTACGAGAGAGGTGTCGTAAGAGAGTTTGGGGTGAGTTAGGGGGGCTTTGAGAAGGTGGAGGGTGGTGAGGCGTGGTGAATGAGGCAGTTGAGTGTGGGGCAGGGCCTAGAAGAGGCGAGTGGGGATTGTAAAGGAGGTTTTGGGAGGCGTGTTATGTATGAAGAGGAGGAAGAGGAAGCGTGCTATGCGCGGTCCAGTGGGATAGTTGTCGTGCGGTTATTGTGAATGAAAGCTGTCTGGATGGAATGAGCATATGTACCAGGGGAGCAAGGTGCCCTTTGAGGCACCTCAAAAGGTCCAGTGGGGAAGTGCGGTTACTGTGAACGAAATCTGTTTGGGTGGGATGATCATATTTACCAAGGCGAGCGAGGAGCGAACGTATGTTTCGCGGGGTGCAAAAGGGGCAAGTGGATGGTGAGAGGATGGATGTGCTCTCAGTTGCAGTGAGCGAGCAACCTGATGGGTTTCTGATGCAGGGAAGGTGATGAGTCGATTTTTGAGTCGACTCAAAATGTGTTCTCAGTTGCAGTGAGCAAGCAAATCGGTTTCTGATGCAGGGAAAGTCAGGGGAATGGGTGGCTGTTTGGGTTTGTCTTATCCCTTACTGTTATCACTCTTCTTGCTCTCTGATCTCCGTTGTCCTCGCTTCTGCATCACCCGCTACAGATCCAGAGGACCCCTTACGTCTGACCGAGCAGACACGACCGCTAGGGCTCATTGTAAGCACGCTCCGTGTTTCTGTACTTGCTGCAATCCTGCACCTCTTGCTTTTGTTGTCTATCCATTTGTGCAGCTTCTTTTGCATGTCATCCCCCTCTCCTTGTGCTGTGCATTATGTTGCATGCCACCCCCTTCAATAAGTAGCGGTCTATATCTTCCTTTACCTTCCTCTTCCTCTTGACCTCACCCTCTCGTCAAACTACACACCTCTTGCTGTTGCACAGGTATGCAGAGGAACAGCGGTGATGCTGATAGCTCCAACAGATGGCACCGAGGAAATAGCCAATCCATTCTTGCAACAAGAGACCTCTTGAGATACATTTTGAAACATTGTTGATTGTTTCTGTTGTTTGACGTACTATTTCTCGTTGTGTTCTAAGAGCACCATTGCGGTTCCTTGCCTGGTAACAATGCGTCTGTTTGAGACGCGTATTTGGTCCTGCGCTTCTGATGGCTTCCTATTTCCGTGGACTAGCGCTCTCCGCGCTGCCTTTCTCGTATTTTTCCCAGATCAGCGGATTCCCCGAGGTCAATTTTTCCCGCCATGTCCACGTCACAGCTACCGACTGTCATTTCATGGGGAACGAAGCAACCTCGAGGTGGTTTCGGGTGGACAAAACACAACCAGGCAAATCCAATTATCCAACTTATCTCCACCGTCCATATTCCCCATCTCACCTAGTTCTCGAAGGATTACAGCTGTAGCACCCCTGTTTTCCCTCCAGAAACAGCAATGGTTTCAATTTCAGCACCAGAGCTCGAATCAGCGGCACCGTCTATTTCTGAGATCTGAAACCATTTCCGAGATGCACAACACAAAGCAGGACAAAGCCAGCCTAAGAGGCTGAAACTTCCTTCCTACCACTCTGGGAGTTGTGCTTGTCTTTTTGAAGCAACTGAACACACATCGACTTCCTTTTATTTTGTTAGACGTAGCACTGGGTAAGGTGATACCACCTTCTGAAAAAGGTCGAGATATTCGCTGTAGAGAGCATAGGCGTATCACGGTAATACCGAGGGACTTATTGCCATGAGTCCCAACGTCGCCACAGCAATGCAGACGAGCGTTTCAAACGGCATGGACGGATCAGACCCTAAAAGCACCGTTGTCCGGCGAGCTGTTTCTCAGCCTGCTCAGGACGAGTATAAAGATGAGTTTAGATACACGCCGGAGGATGGGAAAGACGAGGCGGAGCTGTCGAAGCTTCTAGAAAAGGATGGCATGGAGATCCGCGATATGGTGAAGCCACGGCCGATGCGTCTATCGGATCTCCTCATCGTCTACTGCTACCACATGATTCCGTTCACACTCATGCCTATCGTCAACACCATCCTCAACTACTACCTTGTATACCAGTAAGTTTTCCAATGATTCCTGTGACTATGCTTCCCCCCCTTTAACACCGATCTTCATCACCGCCACATCCTCAACGCATACTCTTTGCCTTGCCTTCTCTTGTTCACAAGTATGTTTGCCGTCAACACCGTCCTCAAATTCTTCCTTGTTTACCAGTATGTTTTTTAATGTTATCCGCCACTTTAATCTCCTCACACCCATTACCATCTTCTTCAACCATTAGATACACCATGATCCACACCATCGTATACGCAACACTCATCCTCAACGACCACATTGTCTACCGATTTGCACATGTCATCCCAACTACCAAAGCCTTCTTATAACCTTCACACAGTGTCCACGTGCTTGGACATTTCGCTCTCCGAGCATTTTTTCTCTGACTTCACTTTCTCCCTCCCTTCAAACGTTTGCGTTATGTATAACGTTCTCGTGCATTTCTCAAAGTCTGTAACCCTGCTGAGACTACCACTGTCGCGGCGCACTGAAACGGTTCTTGCAGGATGCTGGGTTGGTGGGGTCCACTTATAGCAACGGTCGTTCTCTTCATCCTCGCGGTCTGCCCGCCATTCTACAATCGCTCCATTCGCCGTCGCCTCGTTGTAAGTGCGGAGCTTGAATTATGCCAAGGAGATGTTTTCGCGTTTGAAAAATTCACATGAAGAACAAGGGCTTACAAAGTAGATACTTCTGGAGAGACGTTACCGCTGCGGCTCTCCATCCATCTTTTTGGTCATGAGTGAGCCATGGCGACTTGGTGGTAAGTTCAACAGTCCCATAGCTTCCATCCCTTCAGCACTTAAGCTACCTCTAAGTCTTTAACGCCTGCGGGCGTACACGGGTGATGCAATCCCGTTTTACTCACACCCTGCAGCATCTAAATAAGGTCCCGTTGTGCCCCGTGGTCTGGGGCACGGGACGTTCTACTGTTATTGATATTGTTGACCTTTGCGATGTTCCACAAGCAATTCGACGACTAGTAATTCATGAAGCGGGTGCGCTACATCGCCCCCGAGGACCTCATCTCCAATAGCACACCTTTCCTTATAACTCATTTATTGTCCCTTTCGTCCTTCCGTCACCAGTTCCTGTACGAGGCTCTGGCGTATTACATGAAGCGGGTGCGCTACATCGCACCCAAGGACCTCATCCCCGATAGTGCATACATCTTCGCGTTCCATCCACACGGCCGGATGTTCTACACCAACACTATGATGATCCAGACCAACTACGAATGGAGAAAAAACTTCTGCCCCAAAGGTGTGTTCAATTTCTTTATTTTCTTACCTCGAGTGCCTTACTATACGGGAATTCTGTCCCTGCGTATGCCTGAAAAATTAGTCCCTGTGATTCCAAAACGCATCTCCTGCCTTGCATCACGAACATTCCCCCCCCTCAGGGGACTTCTTTGCCGGGGCAGCAGCGGGGTTCTACTCGGTGCCTGTGCTGCGCAACCTGCTGTACCTCCTGGGGACCATGCCTGCCAGTGAATCAAACATCCGCAGGGAGCTGCGGAAGAAGAACCACGTGAGTTGTTGAGCCGTTGAGTGAGTGAGGTAGGGTTCACATAGCAACTTATGGCATCTACCTACCTGCTGGGGACTATGTCTGCCAGCGAATCGACCATCCGGAGGGAGCTGAGGAAGAAGAACCACGTGAGTTGTCATTTACCGAGCCATTGCTTGAGAGGGGTGAGGCTTGCGTTGGGGCATGTGCTGCCAACCTGCTGTACCTGCTGGGGACCATGCCTTCCAACGAACCCAATACTCGTGAGAGCTGTGAGGCTCACAACTGGATGAGAGCGGTGAGGAAGAAGTACCACGTGAGTTGTCGAGGTGTTGGATGAGAGCGGTGAGGCTCACAACTGGAGCTGAGGAAGAAGAATTACGTGAGTTGTGGAACTAGCTGTTATGAATCCAGCATGCAGTCCGAAGGGTGCCGGTGACGCGCGATGTATGCTTGTTGTGCCTCCCTATGTGGGTAATCGCCAGAAGAAGTGCATCCTCTGTCATTCAAATACACTCCAATCCTCTTGTACTAATCCTCATCTTGAACTAATCCGCGTCTTGAACTGATCCCTTTTGTGTACTGCTCTGCAGGTGGCCATTGTGATCGGGGGCCTAAAGGAGGTGTGCCTTGGCACAACTTCCCACACCGACAAGCTCTATTTGATGAGGAGGTATGAAACAGTTTACATAAGCGGTACTCACTCACGCTGATGCGTGCGCCCCAGGTGGTTAGAGAAATGTTAGTGAAAATGGTTGGGGTGATGTGTTACGTTTGTAGACCTAGTTGTGGGAAGAAGGGTTGGGAGAACAAGGAAGACAAAGAAGCAGGAAGGCAAAAAGCGCGTGGACGATAATGCTGAGGATTGTGGCCTGGGGGGGCGAGTATCAGGCTTTGCTGTTCATGTTGTTGTGTTCCTTGCGTTGCCGGTGTACACAAGTTTGACCCATATTCCCTTCCGTTTGTGCTGATTCTGGTTGGTTGGTTGGTTTGTGTGCGGTGCTGGTGTGGTGGGGCTAACAGGAAGGGGTTTGCGCGCATAGCAGTGCAGGAGAAGGTGGGAGTCATTCCCATCTACTGCTTCAATGAGAACCAGGTGTGTATGTGTGTCACATGCCATGCAATGCACCTGGAATGTAGGGGCCATGATGGGATGCACCCCATAGCTTCCCACCTTCTCACACCCCTTTCTCACACCCCTTTCTCACACCCCTTTCCTAAATACCACACCCCCACCATCTCCCGTCCTTCCATGCACTCCCTGTCTTTCCTGCTTATGCATTCCTGCAACCATGACTTTTGCTCTTCCCTAAAGTCCTTGAAAATGGTGACTGTCGAGTGTTCTCTCTGTTTCTCACCATCGAGCCCGTGCCCGCTTGTAATGCATCTCACGAGTTTTGAGGCGCCTCAAAAGTCGTCTTTGTTTCGCATTCTCACTATCTAGCCCGTGCCCGCTCATAATGCATCTCGCGAGCTCTTCAAGCATGATCCTGCACGCTTCCTTCATTCTTTTCGGCAAGGTTGACCATAGCGAACACCCTATTCTCACTGCCCACCAAATGCATTTCCCTGGTGTTCTCCTCCTGCATCCCCATCAGCTCTTCAAGCACGACCCAGTGTGATCCCTTAGTTCTGGGAGAAGGTCAACGCCCACAGGCACTCCTTTCTTACACCCCACTGAACGCATTTCTATTCCTTGCTGCTCCCACATCCCCCCATCAGCTCTTCAAGCACGACCCAGTGTGGTTCCTTCAGTTCTGGGAGAAGGTGAACCGCCACGTCAACATTGGAGTGCCCTTCATGCGTGGGGCCTGGAACCTCACCCTGCCCTTCAGACGGTAAGCACATGGGAGAAAACATGGAGTGCCCTTCATGGAGTGGGGCCTGCAAGAAAACATGGGATCTTTGTGAACACTAGGGGTGGGCTTCTTCACAACATATATTTGCAGTTGTGCCATAAGATTATGGATATGTTAGCTAAATAAGAAATACCTCTCACCCCCCCCAACCCCTCCCCTCCCACCCCCACCCTTTCCTCCTCCCCTCCCCCCCTCAAATTCGTTCCTTTCCCGTTTCCTCCTACTCAGGGATCTCTTGGTGGTTGTGGGCAAGCCACTTTTCCCCGAGGAGGGAGAGTCAGTGGACGATTTTCATGCTCGCTACGTCACTGCTATCACTCAACTCTTCCATAAATATGTTGGGCTGTCTGCACAACCCAATCAGAAGTTGGTCATCGTCTAAAGTAGCAAGCACTGGACATGGTGTTGCGGTCTTAAATTACATGGTTCAGTTTCCTGCTTGCTTAGTTGCTCAGTGTGAGTTATTGTAGCAAAATCAAGGCGGAGCAGATGGTATGCAGTCAAGCAGCTTCCATTTAGGATGGTTATTAAATTCACATTTCCTGTAAGGAGTAGCTGTATTCTGCACTCCAGTAATCGGGTTGCATTCCTGTTTGTTCTTTATTGAAGTGTCAATAGCGGGATCAGAGGATCTGATTCCACGTGGTTTTTCACTTTTACAGCGAGTCTCGGTTGCCCGCGTGGAAATCGTTTGTAATTCTACAGCCGATGATTGGTTGAACTTCGTTGCCACAAGGCGCGCGTGTTTGCTGTCCAGTGTTCAGGCATTTCAAATGTCCGAACCATCCAATCCGACCAAATTCCAGAAATTTCACGAATGCTCGAAACTGCCCGTATTCTGGAAACATGTGGAAGTTCACCAACACAACTACTCTCACAAACATTTTGTAAACTTGTTTTCGTTCATTTCGACATTCCCAAGCGCCTAACAACGCGTAACGCAAATCCCCAGGGGTCACAATCTCAAGGCCCGTGCATTCGCTTCCATTCGGCATATCCCTTCCCTCTCCTCTCCCATCTTCCTCAAAACCAGTTTTCGACACAAGCAAGGCCAAGCAAGACTAGCAAGGCCAGCTTCCCATTGTTCATTCGTTCTTTGTCCACTCCACAACATCCGCTTTAGCTGCGTCGGCCAAAGCGGGTGATTCTCCGACTTGGAATATTTTTGGGAGCTACTTCGAAACAGCTAAAGAGCCAGAAATCTAGAATACGTTACTTTCCTTCTAGTATGAGCATGGCCGCGCGTCTAGGATCAGCCATGCTACTCCAACCAAATACCTCGTTCGCTCAGCAGCACGTAAAGTATCCCAAAAGCCACACGTCGCCCTCACCTCCTTCCGCGCTGCACACTTCTTTTCTCCAGCCTTCTCGAATCCCATCCCTGGCTTTCGCGTCGAGCCCGGACCCCCTGTCACAAACTCTTGTCCCAAAATATCCTCCTATAATCCCGCGCAAAATCCACAAGCGCGGTCGTTCTGGCCAGAGGAGAAGCGTACCGATCGCGGCGGCGGGAGGAGGAGCGGGTTTGGCGGGGGAGCAGGGGCAGGGTCAGGAAAGGGGCGAAGGAGGACCGTCCGATTTCCCTCTGGTGCCGGCGGGCAGGATGATGGTTCCCGTGATGAAGAAAGGCTACGGCGCGTTTGGCGGGGCCACTCTGGAGAAGTCGAAGCTCGACCTCTCATTCTCCACCGCCAAAACCGGCGCGCAGGTAAAGCACCAGATAGGCGGGCCAACCACTTTATCATCCCCACCCTCCCCTCTCATCCTTCCCAGATAGGTGGCACCTAAGCTGTTGTTTGTGATAAAAAAAAAAAAAAAAAAAAAAAAAAAAAAAAAAAAAAAACCGGTTTTATGGCGCCTCGAAAACAGAGTTCCGACCTAATATGCTCTTTGGTGTAAGAATAAGAGTCTTGTGCGACGTTCTGAACGAAATCACCACGCTTTGAACCTTGCATTCCTTCTTCCCAGATTGAGCTCGGGGGAGGCGGCGGCAACATCGGTAAAGGAATCGGGCACGGGGGCGGCGACGGCGGCGACGACGGGGGCGATGACGACGACTATTTCGGCGAGGACGACGGCGACGACGGCGACGACGACGGGTTCATTCGCCGCGCAGGTGTTTGACCGCGCGTCGGTGCAGGCGGTGCTGGAGGAGTGGTTTCGAACCATGGCGGACCTTCCCGCTGGCATACGACGGGCTGTGGAGATGGTGAGTGGCTGATTGCGGTTGTGAGGGGTGATGAATGGTGGTGAGTGGTGGAGGAGCAGGAGGTGTTTGACCGCGCGTCCGTGCAGGCCGTGTTGGAGGAGTGGTTTCGAACCATGGCGGACCTGCCTGCTGGAATACGAAGGGCTGTTGAGCTGGTGAGTGCTGTTTGCGGTTTTGAGCGGTGATGGATGGTGGTGAGTGGTAACGTATGGTGGAAGAACGGGGAGGTGTTTGACCGCGCGTCCGTGCAGGCGGTGCTGGAGGAGTGGTTTCGAACCATGGCGGACCTGCCTGCTGGGATTCGGCGGGCTGTGGAGCCGGTGAGTGGTGACGAGTGGTGGTGAGTGGTGGAGAGCGTGGAGATTTCAGCGCAGGCGGCGCGGCTCATGAGCATGGGCGCACGACTCACCGAACAGTCAAGAGCACCCCCTTCCCCCATTCTTCCCCCACCTTCTTCACCCCCTTTTCCTTCAACCCCTCTTTCCCCCCCTTTTTCCCCCTCTTACCCTGGTTTCCCCCAGGGCTTGGTGAGTTCAGCGCAGGTGGCGCGGCTGATGAGCATGGACGCACGACCCACCATTGCCAGACTCGTCTCCCGCCTCGCCCCTCCTGACCTCTCCCGCGCCTTCATTGGCAGGTGGGTGTGGTGGGAATATGGTACGTGTGGTGGGGATGTGGTGAGTCTGTGAGTGTTTTTTTTTTTTTTTTGTGTGTGTGTGTGTGTGAGTGTGAGCATGTGTGTGTGTGTATGTGTGTGTGAGCATGTGTGTGTGTGTGTGAGCATGTGCGTGTGTGTGTGTGTGTGTGTGTGTGTGTGTTTCAGCGCAAATCACCTCGCTTCCTCCACAAACAACTAACACTTCACGTACACTTCACCCCATTTCCCCCCTCCCTCACCCATCCTTCCACACTCCCCCACACCCTACTCAACCGCTCAGAATGATGGCAGACCCAGCCTTCCTCTTCAAGCTCGCACTCGAGCAAGCAGCCGCCGTCGCCACGGCAGTACGTTGGGAGGTGCAGCAGCGGCGCGGGCAGCAGAACGGGCAGCAGAACGGGCAGGACGGGCAGGGCGTGAAGTCAAAACTTGTCCAAGAATGGCCCCTGGCCCTTACCAACGTCCTCACTCTCTCCCTCTGCAACCTCGCACTCGTATGGTGCCTCTCCCCCTCTCGATCCTACGGCTCTACTGCCACCAATGAGTTGCAGATGGCGCTGCAAAAACTGCCCAATAATGTTTTCGATCGCAGCTACGCGCTCCGGGAATTTAAGCTGCCCGAGCGGGTGGGAAGTTTCTTCTTCAACGCTGCCCGGCTGAGCTTGATTGGCTCAGCAGTGGGTGCTGCTGGTGGGGCAGCTTCAAATACTATACTGAAAGTGATGCAAGGGAGGAAGAAAGCAGCAGCAGGAGCGTCACAAGAGAAAGAGGGAGCATCTTCCGGAGGGAGTGGGGAGGCGGATCAGTATCAACCATCTGTAGCGGTGCCATCGCCAGCAAAGTCGGCTGTAGCATTCGGTGCTTTCACGGGACTCTCCGGGAACCTTCGGTACCAGCTGCTGTATGGGGCGGACAGGGTGTTACAGGAGCATTTCAACCATATCCCTGTGGCCATCCTCGGCACCACTGCCCTGAGGTGAGTCTTTGGGAGAGCTCAACATTACGATAATTGACTCCCTTGCCAAATCCCTGTAGCCACAGCTGCTGTATGGGGCGGACAGGGTGCTGCAGGAGCGTTTCACCCACTTCCCCATGGCCATCCGCGGCACCACTGCCTTAAGGCGAGACGGCGTGAGAGCCTGCCCGCGATTGTATGCAGCTAGTTGTGTCCCATCCCATGCCATTCTCGGCACCACTGCTCTGAGACTCAAAAGTCACCCCGCTATTGTATGAAGCTAGTTGTGTGCCATGCCATGCCATGCCATGCCATTCTTGGCACCACTGCTCTGAGGTGAGACATTGGGAGAGCTGATTACTGAATGGGCTCGCTGTGATTATATTCGCTGAGGAGCATTTCAACTACGTCCTGATACCCAACCTTGGTACCACGGATCTGAGTGAGACCGGATCTGAGTGAGACCGGATCTGAGTGAGACCTTGTGACAGCTGGTTTTTTAGCCGATTCTTATGCTGCCTTTTTGTCCTAACTTGCGTCATGCTTTCCCGAACCTCTTCCTCAGGGTCGGCAACATACTGCTGGGGGAGCCATCGCGCCTCTCCTGGCTCGGGCTGGACAGCGAATCTGTGCAGCAGGCACAGGCAGAGCACCGAGCCTACCACCGACCCTCGCTCGCAGGCTCGGGGAAGAGGCTCGGCAGTAAGCCCACGTTCTCATCCCTACTTCAATTCCTCAGGTCCGGGGGCAGTAAGAGGAGATTCAAAGGGACGGTGGGGGCAAAGCGACGTGGTGTGAGGAAAGTGGCTGGGAAAGGGGAAGGGGAGGGAAAGGGTGGTGGTGAAAGTGGAGCGGAGAAGGTGGGGGCTGAGCGGGTGGTTAAGAGGAAGGTGAAACGGAAGGTTGCCATGGCACAGTAGGGCGTGTGTGGAGGGGCTTGTGTATGGGCGAGTGCGTGTTGCATAGTGTACAGATAGGGGGGGGTGCGCGGGGGAGAAGCAAGTTTATGATCAGCAAAGGACCAGCCAGAAGGTGCAGGCGAAGTGGGTGGTTAAGAGGAGAGTGCAGTGGAGGGTTGCTGCGGTACATTTGAGTCGACTCAAAAGTTAGCTCGGTACAGTAGGTCATGTTTGGAGGGGCTTGTGTATGGGCCTGTTGCACTGTTTACAGATGGAGGGGGGAAGGCAGGGGCTTACCAAATGGTTTGGAGGAAGGTGAAGCAGAGGTTTTCTGTGGAGCGGTAAATTGGAAGACCCTGTTGCACGATAGGCTCAGCAGAGTGCGTGAAGCAGGGTGACAGCAGTAGAGCGAAAGCAGCAGAGTGGAAGCAGTATTGGTGCGTTTGGGGGGGAAGGGGGACGAGAGGGCAGAGGGTGCAGGGCTGATATATTGTATCTGTATTGGACTGTAAGTGGGTGGATTTCGCTTCTCCCTTTAGCAGGTGTGTTCTCTCTGAATGCATACTGTGTACATGTGTGATACTACTGTTGTGAATACAAATAAGATACAGTTTGCCAGTGAATGTATATACAGTAAATGAGATATTTCTGCATGGCAGTGGATGTGTACAACCTAAATTCTACAGTGTGCAAATTAGTCTATGCAGTTGATGTATACAATATGCAGGACTACAGGTCACCAATTCCTGTCATCACAAAACTTCCTCATCTCATCATCAGCCCAACTCACATTCACTGTGCCAGGTTTACCACATATGGATTCAGCCACAATCATGCTTCACATAAGTAAACAAGAGTTACAACATTAACACAAGAAGCTGGTTAGGGTTGGAAACATGAAAAATTTCTAAGCGTTCATCGCTTTCAAATTTGTGTATTGTGAAAGCGAAGCTGACTGTAACGCAATTTTGAGCATCGTCGAAGCACGCTATTCGCCTTCTCCGAATATATAAAGTGGGTTGGGGTCATTCTTCCCCCACCCACGTCTCTCATTTTTACAATCGCTCAAGTTCAATTCCCAGTTCCGAGACCCATCCCGATTTTTTCGGAGGCTCCGACTTCCTCCCGATTTTTTCGGACCTCAACCTGGCAAGGGTGAAAACCCTTCCACGCTTTCAAGCACCCTCTACCCTGCTGTCGGATATTCTTAACTACAATCAAGCTTCGATGGCGCCGAGCGACAACGCCCCGAATCGTTCGGACAACGAGAAGAATACCCGTGAAATTACGGGAGATCGCCGCAACAAGCGGCGGGCGGACGACGAAGGCAACGCGCCCACTGGTGTCGACCTTTTGACGCGCAGTGGCGAAGTCAACAAAACCGTCAACCAGCAGCACCCCTCGGCACCTGTGGCGCCAGTGGCGCCTGTGGCGCAAGTGGCGACGACGGCACCTGCAACACCTGTGGCGCCACACGCGCCTGACGCCGAGCACGCGCCAGCACCTGTGGCTGGACCGTCGCGTCAGCGCCAGAGGCGCCGAACTGGGTCTTCGTCTGACGCGACGGCTGACCCTTTTTTGACTCCGGCGCTGACTGCTGACCAAGTCCAAGCGCTTTTGGCGCTGTTACAGCAGCAGCCGCCGGCGGTTACGGCTACAGCGACAACAATTTCTGCATCTGCTAAAAACGCAAACGCAAGAAACGATTTGGCGCGTCACCCTCGCGCAAACGAAGTCCCTCGTGCCGAAAGGGAACACGCTGCTGCTGCGGGGCCCAACAATGTCAACGACGGCAGCGACTCTGAAGATGAAGCGGGTGAGGCCAACGCACACACTAATTTTATTGCACCTACCGAGCATCTTCCTCCACTCCCCTCCACCAACCCCACCATTCCGGCATCCTCATTTCACCACGCCGGCGTACGCGAGCAAGCCGAATTTCTGGAGGACCTGCGCGCGTACCTGAAGCACTCGGAGCACAAGATACGTCACAGCGACACGGCTGGCGCTCTCGAGCACTTCGACGAGGCGTACGCGCTCATCGCCGATCGCTTCCAACTCCTCCAAGTTGCCGACGCATCCGACTTCAAGACGGCGCACCGCTTCAAGCTCTACCAGCAGAAAAGTGTGCTGACGTCGCGCCCCTTCGAGCAGGCGGTAGCGGACGTGGCAGCGATGAAGCGTGCCCAAGGTTCCTACGGTCGCGGTTCTTCCCTTGGAGGCCGAGGCTCGGGGTTTGGCGGCAAAATTGGCACGGCCCCAGGCTGCGATGCTAGGAGCTTCCGCGGCACCTGCTTCCGCTGTGGCCAGCCGGGTCACACCGCCAGCGCATGCCCTCTGGGGCCACCCACTGGGGCTGGTGGGGGGAGAGAGGGAGAGCATAGGAGCAGGACAGAGGGAGAGAGCGTGAGCAGGAGAGGAAAGAGAGTAGGGAGAGGTGAACTCAACAAGCCAACAGGGGACGTGCAAAAAGCCAAAATTCGAAAAACAAACACATTCGATCGAGAAGAGAAGCAAAGGAGAGACGAGTGGGACAGCACATGAGAAGCATGTATCAGAGCTAAAACGCCTTCCATGATACATGCGGAGGAAAGAAGGGGAAGAAAGTGAAACGCACTGTTCCGCGGCCTGAGCGAGCAGAGAGGTACGTTGCAAACTTCATCTTGCGCAGCCCAAAATCGCCCACCTGCAAACAGACAGGCAGGAGGGATAATAAATCTCAGTCCGGTCAGCTATAGAGAAAAGATGCCAGAACAGTGCACAGCATGGCAATGAATGGCAGGGAGGACGCAACTCATGCTCCCTCAGTGCACAGCACTGCAGTGTGCTTGAACGTACGGCAGAGAAACATTCTCATGTGTGCCTTGTTTACACATGAATTCCCCAAACATACATTCTTGAAGCAACAGGAGGCATACCTTAACGGTCTAGTTCCTGTCCACTAGAAGATTGGCGGACTTGAGATTGTGATGCATAACGTCTTATGAGGCTCTGCAAAAGAGTGAATAGCGCAGGGTGTACCTTAACAGTCCAGTTCCTGTCAACGAGCAGATTGGCGGACTTGAGATCATGATGCACTACAGGGGGCGAGCACTTGTGCAGATAATTCACTCCCCGAGCCTGAACGGGAGGACAGGTGGGGAGAAAAAGGGGAATAGGGGAGACAGGATAGGTAAGTCAATGCAGCGGAGGAGGAACTCATAGCAGCTTGTAAAGACAAACGCCAAGTAAAGACAAAGCATGCAACTCACCACGTCCAGTGCCATGCGCAGCAGTCTCAGGCGGGTGAGCCCAGCAGTGCGGCGGTGGAGCAGGCGGAAGAGGCTACCGCGGGGAAGAAATTCTGTCACGATGGCGAGATGGTCGAGAGATGCCACAGCTCCCATGAAGAGAAGAATGTTGGGATGACGCAGCTTCTCCATTATGCGGATCTGAGCGGGAATGAAGGGGAAGAGCACGAGGAAGAAAATGAGTTTTTTTTTTGCAGGCTATGACGGGTGAGAAATCTGCGTGGGCACAAGAGTAGGAGAATGCTGGGATGCTGCAGTGTGCGGGAGAGAGGACGCTGGGAGGAAAAAATGCCTGTACTGTAACAAGGTAAGACTTGCGTGCAAGACGCAATCAGACATTTCCTTTGAGAATTTAGACACACAAGCTGCAATCGCGTACCTCTTTCTTGAAGTCGCGCATGAAATCACCACTGATGTCGTGCCGTGCAAACACCTTCACTGCCACGTCCTGCCATCGAGAGAGAGAATGGAACACAGGGAAACAGGAAGCGCAGGACAAAAGGAGACACATGAGAATACGAGACAAAGAAAAACAGGAGACATGAGGGGATAGGGACAGAACGAAATGCGGATTGGCATGAACAATGGACATGAAAAACGAATGTCGGACAGGAAAAAAGAATTTAGGAAGGGGAGATGAGAGGATCTAACGCGCCAGCTACAAATTCACTTACTGAGCCGTTCCAGGTGCCGTGATAGACCGTACCACACGCCCCTGCAAAGGTACACACACCACGAACGACACAGAAGAGGTGAGAGGAGGGTGCAAAGAGAGGAGGAAAAACGAGTTTCATTTCAATCAAGCCAAAGCACCATGTATGATGATATATGTGAATGCTGCATTATGCAGCAGCCATCAACTCACCGTGCCCCACCTCCTGCCCCAGCTGAATGTCCTCCCACCGAATCTCCCACCGCGCCACCCCGTCCTCCCAAAACCGCTCCCTCTCCTGCCTCTCCCTGTTGCCCTGCTCCCTCTCCACCCGCAACTCCCTCCCAGCGCCCCCACTGCCCTGCCCATCGCCAATACCCTGTGCCAGACCCTGCCACTGCGCCAGAGCGTTTCTCTGCTCCTCCTCTCCTTCTCGCATGCTCACATCGCCCTGCTGCCTCTCCAGCAGCCTCCTGAGAGGCGGATCAAAGAGCCTATCCCTCTGCTCCTGCCCTCCCATGCTCACATCCCCCATTCCCATGTCTCCCATGCCAGCCATGCCGCCCGCGCCGCCCATGCCGCTCGCGCCGCCCATGCCGTCCGCGCCGCCCATGCCGCCCGCGCACTTGGGAGTATCCGCCAGAATCAGATCCTCCATGTGTGCATGGCACGCTGTCGCTGCAGCTGCAGCTGCCAGAGCAGCAGACGCACGGGCACCACTAGGCACGATAGCACCGACAGCAACACGACCGTCAGCACCAGCATCACCAGCAATACCAGAATTGAAACCAAAACCGTGCCAAGCAGAAGCAGCAGGAGCAGCATCTGCAGCAGCAGGGGACGTTTCAGGCTGCAAGGGAGCGAGTTGAGTCACATGTGCTGTGGGAGCAAAGGAGGGGGGGCGACTGCAGGGCGAGGGCGGGAGGAGAGAGGCAGAGGATGGGAGGAAGGAGGCAGACGTGAGGGCCAAGACAGGAGCCCCTGAACCAGCCCCAGGAGCAGTAGCTTTCGCCGCAGCCGCTGCAAGAGCAGCTGGAGCAGCAGTGGCAACCAGAGGAGGAGCAGCAGCACCGGCGGGAACAGGCGGGGAGTGAACCGGGCGGAACGTTGGAGGAGCGAGAGTAAGCAGTGGAGAAGCAGCGGATTCAGGAGTGGGAGCAGACACAGCACTATGAGCAACCGCAGCAGCCGCCGCGGCAGCAGCTGCAGCGACAGCGGCAGTTGCAGCAGTGGCAGCACTAGCTGTAGAAGCATCAAGAGGTGAGCTTTCAGGTTCCAGGCGCGGCCTGGCAGCAGGAATCCTAAAACCCTTGCAAATATCAGCACCAGGGCCGCCTGTGCCGTGAACTCGGCTTGCACTGTCACTCCCACCACCGCCCCAACCACCAGCCCCAGCAGCAGCGGCGCCAGCAGTGGTAGAACTGCTGCAAGAGCTACCAGAGCCGCTGTTGTGACGGCTGAGCCTGTCCCCTTCCGGACTCAGCCTGCTCGCCTTGGGACTCCTCCCTCCCTGCACCACCCTCCTCTGCACGCCCCCATGCAAACGGGCTTCTGAAAGGGAAGCTTCACCTGCTGCAGCTGATGCTGCTGGTGATGGTGGCAGTGGGAGATGGTGGTGTGGTGACAGGGGTTCTGTGAGGTGGAGATGGGTTTGTGAAGCGACAGTAGAGCTGGTGGGGGAGAGTCGCTTGCGCACCTGCCCGATTGACTGAGCCACCCTGCCAGCCTGGGGTGTAGAGGTGGTGAATGGGATGCGCATAAATGAGTGCATCATTCCTTCTAAAGGCGAATCAAAAGAGCGAGAGGACAAGAGGGAGACGCACAAGCGGGTGGTGAGCGGAGTAATGGCAGAGTGGGTGCAAAGCGGGGGGTGGTGTCAGGCTGTCACCTGCCTTCGCTTTATTTTTCGAAACGAGCAAAGGGAGCAAAGGCTTACACAGAACTAGATTGTTACCATGAAACAGGAAACTGAACGTTACCAGGGCTAGAAGGAAAATGAAAGTTACCAGGGATAGGACAGTTGAAGCGAAAGGTATCTGCCACGGGTGCTGCTCCTCCGCGTGAGCAGCCTCGGCCTCTGCATCAAACTCAAATGGTAACGCTGCTTCTCCTCCTCCCGGCCCCCCTTCTGCACTGAAATCAAATGGCACTGCTGTTTCTCCCTTCGGGAAATCAAACGCCATTGCTGCTGTTTCTCCCCCGTCATCTCCTCCTCCTTGGAAGCCCAGAGCTCCAGAGCCGCGACCAACAAGGCCTGCAAGCGGCACAGTCATATCAGCCTCATCGGTGTAGGCCAACGCAGGGAGACGCAGTGGTGTGGTGCTCGTGTGAGAGGGAGAACGCAGAGGAGCAGCAGAAAGCCGGGAGGCCACACGAGCCACACGGGAAGGAGCACCTCCAGTTCCATTTCCGGTTGCAAAAATGGTCGCGCTTTCAGGAACCCGGATCGGTCGCAGGGGTGCAGTGGTCACATTCAGCTGCAGTGGCTTCAAGCCTTGTGCTAACTGCCAGTGCTCTGCCTTATCCCCTGCCTTGTCCTCTGCTGCAGTTGGCGATGGGATGCTCTCAAGTGGCGTGGCTGGCGATGGGAAGCCATCAGGAGTGGAAGCAGCAGCACCAAGGGGAGAAGCAGCAGCAGCGCCAGGGGGAGCAGAAGCAACAGAATGAAAAGCAGCGGCAGCAGCGGCGGCACCAGGTGAAGCAGTCGACACAGGGCCAAGGGACGTGCTGACGTGCATGCTGCTGCTGCAGCTGCCGATGAAAGCTTGGATCTGCTCCTTGAACGGCCGGCTGTCGCTCGCCACTCCCACAATCATGCTCACGTTGCCCTTGCTGTCAAATATTGGCCGGTCTGTAATCATGGCGTCAAAAACCTCGCCTGACTTCTTGATAAGGGAGAAATTGCCCGTCCAGCACTGCCCCACCTGCAAGGGAAAAAAAGGCAAGAAAGGTTTTAGGAACAAAAATTATCACACTATTTTCCCACTAAGGTTATCACAGTGCAACAAAAAGTGCAGCTGATTTGGTGCTCTGACTGACCTGCAAGCGTGCAATTATTTGAAAGGCGGCGTCAAATGTCTTCTGGCAGCACAGCAGGTCCACTATGTTCCGCCCCATCGCCTCCTCCGCTGGGTACCCAAACAGCTTCTCCGACCCTGCGTTCCTGCAGACAGCAAGGACAAAAAAAAAAAAAGATGGAACGAAGGGGAGTTTTTGAGGCGACTCAAAAACTGCCTCACAGCCTCCTCCGCTGGGTACCCAAACAGCTTCCCCGACCCTGCGTTCCTGCAGACAGCAAGCACCAGGAAAGAGCAGGTGGAATGGAACCAGGAGGCTTCAATTTCACATGGCGGTGAATGAAGTAGGACTGACAGTGACGGTTACGAATCTGCCCGAAGATGCTTGACAAAAAACACGTTAGAACCAGCACATACCAACGCCCTCCACACCTCTCCAGAGCATCCCATCGCCAACTGCAGCAGAGGACAAGGCAGAGCGGCAGCAGGTAGCAGCAGGCCTCAGGCCCTTCCGTTGGTCAAGCCCGGCAGATCAGGCTCGTTCTCCGCCTCCCAGAGCCACTCCGGGGTCGTCTCTCCAGCCTCCACGAACCTGCTTCAGCTCAACCTTCCCAGTTACTCGGATGGCTCATCAGAGGGCGACGCGCACTCTCACTCGCCCCTCAGGCGGTTCCCCTCGGGAATCCATGGCTTGGAGTCTGAGGACCAGGCCATCTACTGCTTCCTGGGCGATGGAACCATAACGTCAAGAATGGCAGCAGCAGCGCCAAAGGAGGCAGCAGCACCAAGGGGAGCAGCAGCAGGTGTAGCAGCACCAAGGGGAGCAGCAGCAGGTGTAGCAGCACCAGGCAGAGCAGAAGCCACAGAATGAAAAGCAGCGGCAGCTGGAGAGGCAATGGAGACGGGCCCAACAGCCGTGCTGACGTGCATGCTGCTGCTGCAGCTGCCGATGAATGCCTGAATCTGCTCCTTGAACGGTCGGCTGTCACTCGCCACCCCCACGATCATGCTCACGTTGCCCTTGTTGTCCATTACGGGCCGATCGGTAATCATTGCGTCAAACACCTCCCCTGACTTCTTGGTAAGGGGAGAGTTGCCCGCCCAACACTGTCCCCCCTGCAAAGACAAAGAAGGGAGGAGGTGACAGAAACAAAGGTTATCACGGTGCTCTTGCCCTCAATGATGGGCCGGTGTGTTATCATCGCACCCCGATTCCTTGGCGAGGGGAAAGTTGCACAGGCTCTGCCCAACCGCAGACGACTCACAGGCTGGACAATCAGGCTGAACGATACCAAAAAAGAAGGTTTAACGAGGAGTGTTGGTCTGACTGACTGACCAGTAGGCGGGCAATGATTTGCGAGGCGGCGTGGCTCGACTGCTGGCAGCACAGCAGCTCCCCTATTTTCTGCCCAACTGCCTCCTCCTCTGTGTACCCAAACAATTTCTCCGACCTTGAATTCCTGCAGACACCAGGCATGAAACGGAGGAGTTAAGGGAGGTCAATGACTCAACAGTGGTGAACCAAGGAGGACTGGACTAAAATACCCACAATATTTCCAAATCTGTCCGGAAAAAAACATACCACATCATGATGGTGCCGTCAGGCCGGAAGACGTAGATGGCTTGGTCCTCAGAATCCCAGCCATGGATTCCCGAGGGGAATCGCCTGAGGGGTGAGTGAGCGTCGCTCTCTGGTGAACCATTCTCTGAGGAACCTCTTGATATTTCTCTTGGAAGGTTGAGCGGAAGCTGGTTCCTAGAAGCTGGAGAGACGACCGCAGATTGGCTCTGGGAGGCTGAGAAGGAGCCTGATCCACCGGGGCTCGACCGACGAATGGGATGCGTCAAATTCTTGGGGCTGTCCGCGTCCTGCAAGTGTGCAGTATCGCGTGAATCAGGTTTCAAGAAATGATCAGGTACTGTACTCAGGCGTAGCGAATATGATGATCAAGATGCTGTAAGATCAACTCAGTTGAATGAGCGTTATACCTCGTTGCTCTGCTTCCATTTTTCACGCAACTGCTCCTTCACCAGCTGAATCTTAGTCATCTGGTGCTTCAGCGACGCGTGGCAAACCTCCAAATCCGCTATTGCCGCCTCCATGGATGTGTCTCCTCCTACCATTGTAGCGTGAGGACTCAACGGCTGACGGCAACGCATAACCATAGTTCGGAAACAAGACACGAGAGTGAAGCAAGGTTTGGCATGAGCTGAAAGCAACACCGCGGCGAGCTCAAGGAAAGAGGCTACAGTTAACAACCTGTGGCTGGATCGTTTTTAATATCTAATGAAAGCGATGCTATTAGGAACTCTAGGCCTCAGAGATGGGCTTGTCCAGGACCTCGAGCCAAAAGAGCCGTAACTCGTCTTGGGATTCCCTCAGTTTACAATAAAACATCGGCTTCTTCAGTATCAGCCTGTCTGGGAAACCACGGGGCAATCGAAAACCGCGAGGCAGCAGGCGGAGAAAGGTAGTATTCCCCTCGATTTCCGGCCACAATTCAGGTCCGAAAGCTCCTTATCCGAGGCCGTCGTGGCCAGAAAACCGTTCGATGGATCCGCTAAAATCACCCCGAACCGTCAGCGGTCTCTTCCCCTGACGTGAAATTAAGTCGCAGTGGCGAGTTTAGCTGTTAGCAGCATTGTGCCGCCCGAAATTGAGGCAACTGCCTTGCAGTGCATGATACAGGCTGGATCACCTTCTTGCTGACTCAGAATGCTTCATGGCTCTTTGCTTTCGACGGAGGCAAAGCCACAACAGCAGTAAGTGCATATCAGGTAAGATCCGCCTGTAAACAAATTGGTCGGCGCAGGCGTGACTGTAAGTTCGCCGCTCAAGCGTCCATGGCGGAGCTTTTGGTGCGACCGATGACTTGTGGAGGCTGTCTGACGCATCACGGCGTCATGATTTGTCTCGTGGTTGCACTCTAGGAGGAAATGCGCGTGATACGCTTTGGATTTGACCCCACATGACGGACGTGGTCCCTGGCTGTTCCCGTTAGAGGAGGGCAGCAGGAGCCCGGGGCCGCGTAATCTAGAAGCCATAGCTCCTCGGGTTTGGCGACGTGAAAATGGAACTTGACGAAGCCAGCTGGAATGACTTGCTTTCTTGGCAAATTTGGACAGGATCTTGCAGGCGCCTACTCATGTCGCAATGCTGAGGGGGATCCAGTGATTATCCGGTATTGAGTCTTTCACCTACCCACAAATTGTGCTGCCAAGTGTACCACAATGCCAACTAGCATTCTGACTCCGTAGAAAAAAACAAGACCTTAAGAATGGCTGAAACGGTCATTGACGCCTAAGTTAGCATTTTAAACGATTTAAAACCGTATATTTCAATCACAATAATGAAAACGACACAGAATATTGTTGTATTACGGAAGCTACGGGTGTGGCATAGGGGACAGCGACCGCACAAACTACTCTTTTTGTAAGGAATGTTCTCGGCAGACCTCACGTTTTCAGAGTAAATTACTCTGTTTCTCTGAAAATCAGAGTCATTTTTTAAAGTAACTCTGTACCCGCTGGGTAATTTTTTTGGGACTTCCGATTTCTCTGACCCGTCAGAGCTACGCTGTAGTCCACTCTGAGGCCCCTGGGTTTTCTTTTCGGGGACCGAATTTACTCTGTGTAGGGAATACCTGCCGGCCCCCCCTCCCCCACCCCCCTCCCCTCCCCACCCCCCCTGCGTTTAGCGGGTTTTCCCCGAATCGTCGAGATCATTCTCCTGATTTCTGTCGTGTGTTGGCGGCAATATGAGCGCTGATTGGCTACCGTAGTTTGACAACTTTCCCAACCAGCGCACAATGCCAGCCAGTCCCCTCTCTCTTTATGTCTGAAGTGAACGTCGACGATTCCCGACGAAACTGACGTCGAGGAATCCTGACGGTCGGAACGCTCAATCCGAGGGTTGAGATTCGCCAGCATTCCCCGACGAAACTGTACATCCGTCGACATTTAACTTCAGACACGCTCTTAGTCAGATTATCGGTGCCGCCAACACCTCACTCTGAAACATCGCAGTGAGGGGGGAAACGTGGGCGACGCGGAAATGAAACACAATGCAAGTACAAAAGGCGTAACAAAGGTCATGGTACACCAAACTTAACTAACATCAGAGTAGAGAAAATTATTACTCTGACGTGCCTGGGTTTTTTTTTGAAAGTATAGGGTTACTCTGACAAATCAGGGTAAGGCGCAGGAACAACCCTAGATTTCAGAGTTGGGAAAAAAACTACTCTGGAAATCAGAGTACCTAAAATCCAAAAATAGGCCCTGGTTCTCGGATTCCTTACTGGGTCACACTGTACGCGTACAACCTCGGGTTTCGGAAAACCAGGCTCTGTCTGCCGACCTCGCCTTCCGAGCCACCACCGAGTCGCCTTTGGGTTTTCCAACCCCGAACTTGCACCCAACCATCTCGCGACCACGCGACCTCGGCCTAGCTAGCATTGCCATATAGTCCTAGGCCTCATTGTTTGCTCAGACGTTGTATTCAATTCCGCGTTATTGAATTCTGCGCACTTTTCTCTTTCACAACTCATAACACTTGGTATCAGAGCTACTTTCCTAGGTTACCCTCGCGTTTCCGGGGTAGTTTGTAGAAGGGGAGCGATAGATACGATTTTTTCACTCCGACTACGATGGTGTTTACGCCTTCACCGAAGTCAGAAAAATCGCTAGCCACCCCCTGCACGTTCGACGAAGCCTGAGGCACATCGATCAGGCCGAGTTTAACGAATTCATGCAACAGTTCCTGTGATAATGAGAACGAGAATGGATGAACTATGAATGAAGTGAGTACATATAGGAAACCCTAATTGGGTTGTACCCCCTATGGG